TTATTGAGGTTTGTTGTTCACCAACATCTTTGTTATAGTAAAGAGTGGAGCTGAAATGTGAAACCTTAGCATGCCACACTAGCCTATATTTCCTAGCTTGGAAATAGGTTATCTTTGTAGAATGAATCATAGGGTGAGTTCTGGAGAATGGACTTAGCCCCTGGACCCTCCTTTGTTATTGACCATATCTACATTAGTAGAGAAAGTGATCTTCTGCTCTGGGAGCTCAGAGGAAGTATTTTCCTTCCTGGCATCACTTTATTAAATTACATCCTGCATACTCCCCTTGGTTAGGCCAACCAATAGGTGCAGTACTACTAATACAAAATAAATAAATATTGGACTGTGAGTTAGTTTAACTCCACGGAATTTATGCTGCATTCAAACTGCTGTGAAAAAAGCTCCATAACTAAGAGTGGATCTTATTGATTGCCCTCGTTTTCCAGATTTAAAGGAAAACAGTTACCTTGAATGTTAAACTGTTGTTAAAATCAGTCATAGATCATTGAGAGATTTAATTGTGATTTAGTACAGTAAATGCAGCTTTAAAGTAAAGAATCCTTCATTTTCAAACCTACTCATTCATTGATCAACCTGATAGGAGTGTAACCATTGACACTGATGCATCAATTAAAAGATCCAATTATATTGATGCATAAAAATAGTCAGCAAAATGATAATAGTTAGTAGGTGATCTAACATTTTTCATAACTAGAAAAATGCTGCTTTCATTTGAAATGTCTGATGATGCCTTTATGATCTTAGAAAAGTAATTGTCAAATCATATCTTTTTTATTTATTTATGCTAAATAATCAAGTTTAATTGCAAGACGATATAGCATTATATCAATCGTGGACATGTGAACTAAACTGAAATTGTATCATGACAGACTTTGTGGTGTCGGCAACCTTTGTATCTTCTTTCAAACTAACCGCAGTGTTATTGTACCCTGATAAATCTGGTGATTTGCACCTCTTTTTATTACAAAACCCTCAGGTGGTTCTCACCCTTTGGTTTGTTAAGGGGACAGATGCATTCATGTACCTCGGGAAATCAGGGAAAAAGTCAGTGGGTTGTGTTTGGATGCGATATCCCAGTTTAAATCATCATCATTTTTAACCCCTTAAATTTCAACAGATGCATAACTGTGTGTTCTGTATGCAAAATTAATACAGCAATATATATATATATATATAAATATAGATAGATCTATATCTTTATATATATATATAGGTGTTTGAGTGAAAAGATGGCAGATGAAATGACTGATAGTACCTTTGAATAGAATAGAACAGATTTTATTGTCACGTTATTGAGGGATACAAGGAACATTAAAGGTTGTCTTTCACATTTATTTTTACAAATTGCATGATTTTCCAATTTCATTTCTATTGCACTGCATGGATGTTAGAGACAACATTTTAATTGGTCCATTTGTACATCTAGAGTGAGCATTTCTAATGGGCTTTAGACAAAGAGAATGTGGTCTGTAAAACTCAATATGAAAAAAATGCAATGGAAAATATAACATGAAAAAAATATAAGGTGCGCACCAAATACCTACTTGTTCCCACGAAATACTAAGTTGCATGCACAAAATATTGGTTTGTTCCCACTTAATACTAATCGTATGCAAGGAAAACTTTTTGTGGCCAGGATAAGAGTGTTTTTGCCGTGTTAAACACATCTGGATGTCTAGCCTTACCTCCCTTTTTCTAATTCCATTTTTAAAAAGCTCTTTAGAGTCTAAAATCATGCTTTTTTTTGCTCTACGTCCATCCTTAGTGCAGTGTAGCAAAAACTACATTTTATTCCACAAACACCTGCTGATTAACCCACAACAGTTTCTCTGACCACTGGTACAAGAGAATCATCTTTCAAATTACCATAGAAACCTGTGAGGCCCAGAACTTTAAGGGGTTGGGCTATAGGCTTCACCCTTAGAGCAGAATGGAGTCTATATAAGTTTATCCAAACCAAAAACAAAGCATCTGCTCACAGAAAACGAGTGCTTTGAGGCTCCCTGTGCAGCTAAGTAACACGGAGGAAAAACAACCTCTGATCAGGTCAGGGATCGCTGCTGCTGTGAATGATGAAGAAAAAGGTCATAAGCTGTAACAGTACAGAGGAGAAGGGAACAGAAACACACTGATAAAAATCCATAGCTAGATCAGCATAATGACGCATCACAACAAGCCTTGCGTAAAGTGCTGCTGCAGATGGATACAACCTCTGACGACTTCAGGTTTCATCAAACTCAGCTCCTCACCTAGAAGTCACTCTGTGGACTTTGAGGCTCTAAATCATCTTAGTTTATAAGTCTTAGTGTTTAAAGTATTTTCAGTATTTTTCCTTCCATTTAAAGTTGTTCATAAAGGAGAAGGTCCTCTCTCTTCTCTTTGTCCTATGCCTGCATCTTCTCCACATATAGATCACATATGCCACACTGTTACAAATATACTTATTTGCTGTTTGTAAGGTACTATAGAGGATGATCTTTTATTTCCGGACCGCCAGAAAGATTTTAATCCAGTTGCATGTGGGGAGAAAAATCTATAGTTAAAGTGCCTTGAAGATGAGAATGTCTAAAATAATGGTGTTAAAGGAAGAACTGTAACCCAGGAAGAGCGTCCTCCAAGGAAGACATTAAATCCACGCAACTAGACACCACATTAACAATGACACTTTTTTTTAGATGCCAAACAAACGAAAACCAACCTTAAGGACAGCTGAGCATTATTCATCGGCAGGAAGAGGAACCTGAGCCTGAACCTGCCGGGCTGGGGTTTAGCTTCTCTAAAATGAGTCAAAATAACTTGGTTTATACAAAATAGCTTTTTATCTTGAGTATAATTTTAGAGTTTGATTGTATTTTAATTAAACAGGCATGCTGCTTTGCAATAAAATAGCCTCAGGGAGTGATCTGTAGAGAAAGAATTTTTACAAAGTATGGTGGACAATACAGTAGAAAGAACAGAAATAAGAATCACGCTGTGTCCAATACTTTGGGGAAGGCCGTTGTACATTAAATGACTTGAATAATTGAACTGAATTCAGCTTGAAGGGAGGACGGTACAATGGTAGCTTAGAGGCTAGAATGTACCCGGACCGGCTGGAGAACATGGAGTAATCACAGGCACTATCCTCAAAACATTTAAAAGCATCACAACTTAATCTTTTTCTAATACTGTGAAGCCTAGAAAACATGAGGATAGTTCCTCTGCTTTAAGCTTTAATTCCTACTATATTCTATGGTGATCTAATCTTAAAATTTGTAAGCAAATTCACTGTTTTTTTGTGTATACTTGATGTCTGATTAGATTGCTGTAACAAGAAAGGATAAATATGGGTACATATATTGCCACCCCCTCTAGATCCTTAAATTCAGTTTTTTAAATAACTTCCATGGCAACCAAGGTTTAAATTCAAGTACTCAGAAGTGACGACTGCTTCTGCAGACGTCTTGGAAAAGTATATGTAGCTTTCAGTAGAGATGCATGAACATGAACATGATACCTGGATCAGCTCTAATATTGACTAATTACCTGGACCAGATATTGGTCATTTTATATTAGATATCCGAGATGCAACCCAGTGGACTCAACATTTATTGTTCCCCTACTAAATGAAAAAAGTAAGAATTTATTATTATCTAGAGACTATAAATAACAGGAGGTGAAATACAGCTCCAGACGAGCTGAGCATGTGATGACGTCATAAGTACACTTCTGTTCCAATTGACCAATATTTATGCTGCATGCTCCCGTTCTCCATGAGGCCATACTTTCGTGTGTTCGTCTGAAGAATGTACTTGGCGAGAACACAAGTACGTTCTTGTGAATTGAGAAATGGCCAGTGTTTCGTACTTAACCTTCCGAATTGGCCTTTGAATTAGGTAAGATATTCATCACAACTCGATTGAGACATGTTGCCATGGAAAAGGTGGAAAAGATAACAGCCTATTACTTCGAGAGGTAATAGGCCTCACACCTGAGAATAATTAATTGCGTTACCCTCGAAATAGCAGACAACAAAACATTGTGGGATGTATTAGGCTGGAGGTTGGCTGAGCTGCCTTGTCTTAATTTCTAAACCGGCATCTTATAGGCCACCCCTTCAAACAGCCTGACACAACCTGTCTTCCTGTACAAGTGACCAGGAAGCTTGAAAAAACCAAAGCCTACGTGGAGCCTAAAATTAACTTGAACTTGAATTAACTTTTATTTATCTCAAGAGTATTTAATTTACCTTAAAGAAAAAGTTTTAATGTATTTCAAACAATTCTAACCCTTAAATCTCAGGAAATATTTCCATGTGGACGTCCAGAGTTGCCAATTCAATGCTTTAATTTAAGGGATTTGATTAGTTGAAGCACCATTTTTAAATATCAGGACAGTATATATTGATTATTTTAGTAATCAATTCCTCTATGGATAATTATTTTGCTTAATCTAAGAAAATCTAGTGTGGAAGTATTTCTAATCCAATCTATCCAGATTCATTGCACAGTTTAAATATATTTATAAAAGGCAAATCTTTAAAAATATGGATTGAAATAATGGATTGATAATTATGTAGAAAATGGTGCTAATAGAAGATTTTTAATGTTTGCAAAATCGGAAGAAGTTTCAAGCTGCTCCTGCTGAGGTGTTGTGGAAAGAGCATATTTACAGACAAACAGGAGCTTTCATTTTAAATAAAAAAAACGGGAAAACTTTTTTGTGCAGTTTTGGCTGAATTACTGCACTAAATGGGTCATTATTTTAGCAAATGGTACATTTTAGAGTCTATATTCCAGATAACAAATTAATTTGCCAAATTTAAACTTTTAATAGATTCATTTTGGTTAAAACAATGATTATTTCAGCTCTAGTGACCATATTAAAGGAGACGGGACAGAGGCTTTGTTAACATAATGTGACAGACTCAGGACAGATACAGTTTTACTCACTCAGCACCCACCCTCCATCTGACCCCTGTTTCTCATTCTGTCTTTCAGCCATCATCAACCCTAAGCAGGCCAAAGACAACAAGAGCTTCAACTTTGATTACTCCTACTGGTCGCACACAACGGTAACTCATTCTGCCCCCATGCATCACTAGGAGGACACACATTTACATTAGAGCGACTTGTTCCATGTTGTGTTGTCAGGTTTACGACATATTGATCTCTATCCACAGCCCGAGGATGTCAATTATGCCTCCCAGATGCGTGTGTACCAAGACATTGGAGAGGAGATGTTGCTTCATGCCTTTGAAGGATACAACGTCTGCATCTTTGCATATGGCCAGACGGGTGCGGGCAAATCCTACACAATGATGGGAAAGCAGGACGTCAAGGATCAGCAAGGAATCATTCCACTGGTATTGTTACCCGTGAAGGTTTTTAACTGGAGTTACATGCTGCTTTTTTCAGTATTAACTTTATTTATTTTCTCCTTCTAGCTTTGTGAAGATCTTTTCACAAAGATCAATGATAATACAGACAACAGCCTGTCCTACTCTGTAGAGGTAAGAGGCTGCTGGTAAAGGCCTATATTCTCAAAGTTGCCAGCAGGTCCAAACTAAATGTGTGTTTTGAACAGGTTAGCTACATGGAGATCTACTGTGAGCGTGTGCGGGACCTGTTGAACCCTAAAAACAAAGGGAACCTCCGCGTTAGAGAACATCCTCTGATGGGTCCCTATGTTGAGGACTTGTCCAAACTGGCTGTAACTTCATACAATGACATCCAGGATCTAATGGACTCCGGCAACAAGGCCAGGTGATTAACCTAATCGGCTGGGTTCAAAATATTTGTTTCAGGATTAATTGACTATATAGTACATGTCTTCGGTGAATTCTAGTAGAAATGCACTGATATAATAATCTGGCTCAATACCCAAACTTTAGGTTGCAAATATGGCTGATAACAGATATTTACTGATATTATCTTTTTTTCTATCTTTTGGACGCTGTTATATATATATCTTCTTCCAGCTAAAATTGGAATTACAGATTTAGTTTTTTTCTCTTTGCTTACCACAGGCAAGTACATGTTTGTCCTAAATGTTTTATTGTTTTCATGGTCTTGAACGCCCTTTTGTTCTGAGTCAGTGACTTATAGTCCAAAAATACATCATTAGAGGGCTGTTCCAAATTTATTTTAGTATTCTGTAATTTAGCTAAATCTAAAATGGACCAGTATAGATACTTTTAAAGTGTTTTGTTTAGTTGAATCTGCTGTGCAGACATTGCTTCCTAAACGGCCACAATCACTTTCACATGACCATTTCTTTCCCCCATTCCAAGCGAAATGCAGCTAGATGGAAATGAACATCAGCTGTTAATATCTGCCCATTGTAACCTATGGGGCCAACACTAAAATGTTTATAAAGTAACAAACATTGCCCATTATGATAATATCAGGCATCTTGAATTTCTAATATTGTGTTAATTATAAGTTTATTGTGAATTATATTGTGAATATATAAATTGCCCACCCCCATCCTCTCTACCATTCACTTAAATTCACCCCCCCCTCGGGTGTCAGAAGCGGCCAAAAGTCAATTTAGGATTAATATAAGGTCAGAATGGGAAACATAGAAACAGTAAATCATGTTAATAGGGTAAATTTCATCCTGACGGCTGTAAGGCGGGTATATTTATTAAATCAAAGACAGATTAACATTTAGGGGTACTTTTTTTTTTTTTTAATCTAAATTTAATATCAATATAATCAATATCAGGACTGATGATGATATTATTATGGGATCGGTGCATCTCTATTTTACACCCAGTCTGGAGTCTCCTGGTAGAAATAAGGGCAGTGTGAACTGATTGAACTGTGCTCTCTGTGTAGGACTGTGGCTGCCACCAACATGAACGAGACCAGCAGTCGCTCACACGCAGTTTTCAACATCATATTTACTCAGAAACGCTTTGATGCAGAGACTGACAACACCTCTGAAAAGGTAATACTTTTTTCTCACAGCGGACTTGGCTATTGCTTCTGGTTACGCTAACTCTGATTGATGGCTGGGGGCTAAATCCTGGTGTTAAGGAGAAATCAATGATGGCTAGAAGGTCATAGGGAAAGTGCAGAGCCATTCAGAGGAGATGCTTTTTTAATGAAGCCAGTGTCTGAAAGGATTTTGTATGCCTGGAGGTTTTTAGGTTGGCAGATGATATTCATGATGTTCTCCTCTAGGTCAGCAAAATAAGCTTGGTGGATCTGGCTGGCAGCGAGAGGGCTGACTCTACTGGAGCCAAAGGAACCAGGCTTAAGGTGAAAAGGCTTCAGGGAAGTCATGGTCCACAGTATACTTATGTAAAACCAGCTAATTAGGTCATATTATACTTAAATCACAGGAAGGAGCGAATATAAACAAGTCTTTGACCACACTGGGAAAAGTCATATCTGCTTTGGCCGAAGTGGTAAGTATCACTCTGTTTGCTGTATTTTTTTTTTGTCAATCTATATTTTCAGTTGTCAAAACATTTTTTTCTCCCAATTTATTTTAGGATTCTGGGCAGAATAAGGTAATTGGTTTAATTTCCTCACTCTAAAGAGATGTTGAATGTGAGAATAGGTGGACTTAAATCAGCTTTTATTTTGGTTACACAGAACAAAAAGAAGAAAAAAGTGGAAAGCTTTATTCCCTACAGAGATTCAGTGTTAACTTGGCTCCTGAGAGAGAATTTAGGTATATTTAACATCTGTTTTTAAAAATAAATTAGGTCAAATTGCTTCCAGCAAGTTCTGAGATCTTTTTTTTCATAACCTTTGTGTTAGGGGGAAACTCTCGGACTGCCATGGTTGCTGCTCTGAGTCCAGCTGACATCAACTACGATGAAACCCTCAGCACACTCAGGTAAGCTGACCGCTTAAGATGATGAAAATGGCTTTGAAGGACAAACGTCTCATTCACACTGAAGGTTGCATTGGGCCTCTAAGTATGTTTGTTTGCTCTCTACCGCCATCCTGTGTCAGTTTTCTCTAGTTTTCCTTGTTTTTCATTTTGTTTGTTTATTTTTTTTTTATCCCCAGGTATGCCGACCGTGCCAAACAGATTCGCTGTAACGCCGTCATCAATGAGGATCCGAATAACCGACTGGTGCGTGAGCTCAAAGAGGAGGTGTCTCGCCTGAAAGACCTGCTGTATGCCCAGGGACTGGGTGACATCATTGAGAGTAAGTCCTTGTGGTGTCATCATGATTTTAGACCCTTTAGTAGTAACAGGTTCTTTCCTGCTGTCTTAAACACCCTCAGCTAATATTGCGTATTGTTTCCTTTGGTACGACATTAAAAAGTTATCAAATGTGAGCCTATGCTTTGTTCACAATTTAAAATAACACTGATAAACCTTTACATAAGTAGGACTTGGTCGCACACCTACAGCTGTATTATTTCCAATTAAATCAGATTAAAGTTCTGCAGAATAAAAGCAATCCCTGCAATTTTCTACATTTGATCTATTACTACCTCAAATTTAAATGTATTGTATTTAGCTTCGATGAAATGGCTTATACTATAATGGCCAGCACAGAGGAGTGAAAATAATTAGTAGTAATGTGATACCTCTAAATAGAAACCATCTTAACCGGCTGGTTTCAGAAGTTACCAGATTAGTAAAGAGTCCAGCTGTTCTGTGGAGGCATCAGAGCCTCGCAGGTTGAACTGAAGCAATCATTTTATTTAAAACCTTCGTGTGATTCAAAGTCGTACGGTAAGGCATAAAAAAACTGAGCATTCATCGGAACAAAACATTAAGTGAAAAACTTGATCCATAAAATCTGACATTACTCAAAAAATATTTTATAATAAATTACAAATTAGATCCAAGTGCATCACTTCTCAAGGTTAGGGAGGAGGTACTGCCCCTAGTGGAGGATTTAAGTATCTTGTTCACGAATGAGGGGAAGATGGAGCGGGGGATTGATAGGCGGATTGGTGCAGCGTCTGCTGTGAAGCGTCTGCTGTGAAGCGTCCGCTGTACTGGTCTGTTGTGGTGAAGAGAGAGCTGAGCCAAAAAGCAAAGCTCTCGATTTACCAGTCGATCTACGTTCCTACTCTCATCTATGGTCATGAGCTTTGGGTCATGACTGATAGAACGAGATCCCGGATACAAGCGTCTGAAATGAGTTTTCTCCGTAGTGTGTCTGGGCTCTCCCTTAGAGATAGGGGGAGGAGCTCAGTCATCCAGGGAGGACTCAGAGTAGAACCGCTGCTCCTCCACATCGAGAGGAGCAAGTTGAGGTGGCTCGGGCCTCTGATTAGGATGCCACCTGGAAGTATCCCTGGTGAGGTGTTCCAGGCACGTCCTATCGGGAGGAGGCCCAGGGGGAGACCCAGGACACGCTGGAGGGAATATGTTTCTCGGCTGGCCTGGGAGCGCCTTTGGATTCCCCTGGAGGAGCTGGCGAGCTGGCCCAAGTGGCTAGGGAGAGGGACGTCTGGGCCTCCCTACTTAAGCTGCTATCCCTGTGACCCGACCCCAGATAAGCTAAAGAAGATGGGTGGATAGATGGATGCATCACGATATATACTTAAACAAATATTAAACCTCCTGTGAATAAAGTAGATGCTGCCTAAAAAGCTGGATCAACTGATGTTCTTACTGTAGCTCTCATTGCCTAGTGTTGCATTTTAAAAGCTCTTATGCAAACTCACCACAACTTGGTCATCCAGCCAGACTAACAGGCTGGGAAAATAGAGCTTGAATTTAAAAAAAAAAGCACCAAATAAAAGCTGCAGGCTATGAAATTTATTATTTTCTTAAAGGTGCAAGAACAAGACTTGTCAAATCTTAAGAACTTATATTTAGAACATCTGGGAAGCCATCATAGGTCGCTTCCAAGATTTCATTTATTTCTGGCAGCCAGAGGAGACAGAGAACAGATTTTTTTCTGTTTTGTTGGTGGTATAAGGAAAGATGATGCTAAAAGGAAGTCAGGAACACAAATCAAATCCAGGGGAACCAACTTTTAAAAGTGCCCTACTTTGGTGTTATAACTCAGTATGAGTCAAGAAGAGAGTCATTGTTGGAAAAAAGCCATGTGACCATGTGACATGGCAAAAAAGCTACTATATATAAGCCTTTTATATCAGATGATAACTATTTATAAGTTTTTTTGTTTGAAATAGTAGAAAAAAATGCTACATTTAAATTGTAGCCTGAACCCTGTTTAAATATAACCTTTAAATGTGGTCACCCCAGATTTTCCATTAAAGGAATAGTACACCCAAAACATGATTAGCCTTCATTTTCTACTCACCCCCCTGCTGAACAACACTCTGGAGTACTTTTTTGATATCTCAAATGCATCTGGAGATCTGGGAGGCTTCTTGCTGTCTGCTGACATTCAAATAATGGAGGTCTATGGTGCCCGAGGCAGAAAGGTCCATAAAAGTCCACAAAAAACGTTTCAATATTCCTCCATACTGCTCGTCCAATGTATTCCAAGTGTCCTGAGTGGGTAGCGTCCAGAATTTACTCGAAACGAAGTCATTTAGAATGTTTTTAGAGCATAAACAGTAGTGTATAGGATTTCCTGAAACCGCGCACCTGCGCGATCACGACGCTACGGAAGCCGGCAGACCAAACCAGCGCATTCAGCTCGGCAAAGAACTCATGCTCTTCCTCAACACTGAAGTCCTCAGACATTTTTCTTTCGTTGTTTCTTTCTTTGCACAGGTAAACAGCACATTTCTTCTTCTACGCTTGCATTATTGGCAGAGCAGATGCTGAATGCGCACTTTCATCTGGTTTGGTCTGCCGGTTTCCGTAGCGTCATGAACGCGCAGGTGCGCGCTTTCAGGAAATCCTATACACTACTGTTTATGCTCTAAAAACATTCTAAATGACTTCGTTTCGAGTAAATTCTGGATGCTACCCACTCAGGACACTTGGAATACATTGGACGAGCAGTATGGAGGAATATTGAAACGTTTTTTGTGGACTTTTATGGACCTTTCTGCCTCGGGCACCATAGACCTCCATTATTTGAATGTCAGCAGACAGCAAGAAGCCTCCCAGATCTCCAGATGCATTTGAGATATCAAAAAAGTACTCCAGAGTGTTGTTCAGCAGGGGGGTGAGTAGAAAATGAAGGCTAATCATGTTTTGGGTGTACTATTCCTTTAATATTGATCAGGTTTCTATTTGGATGTACATTTATATTGTTTTATTGCCCTTACCTGTAAGCCATGTAAAAGTAGACTTTAAATAGAAGGAACGAGGTGTCGTTCAACAACTGGTGGCTGACGGATAATGCTTTTATTCAAATAAAAAATGGCAGTGGAATATCTGCTGTTGCCATCATCCTGGAGGAGCAAATCCTGTAAAGTCAATGAGTGGATGCAGTCAGCTGGTTTTCCTTTGAAAAAAATGGATGATCTGATTGAATCTTCTCTCTAAAGAGCCTTCAGATGGAATGTTGTGAATTGGTGCTATGTAAAAGAATTGGATTGGATGGAATAGAATTTAATTTAGTAAAACTGTATTTATTTTACCTGCATTGAATTGAGTGCTGGTCAATTCAATGCAGGTAAGGGTTGATGGTCTGATTGATATTGACGAGTACAGGAAAACTCTGGAAGAAAGCTTCCTAAATGCTCCAAACAACCCTATAAATACTAAAAGAGCCCTCTAAAATACAATACGGTTTGTTGTGACAATATAAATTGTACGAAAATTTTACTGTATCATAACCTAAGAAAATACATTAATTTGACATCCGGTCTTCATGAAATGACTGGTTAAGGATTAAATTGAATGGTTATTTTTATGTATATGAAGATTTTTATCTCCTGTTTCTCTCTCTCTCTCTCTCTCTCTCTCTCTCTCCATTAACTTGCCTTAACCTCTCCCAGCCTATCGAGCAACTGGCGTTGATATCGAGGGTTTGAAATGTGTGTTTTTGTCATTATCTTACCTTAATTTTGGCCGTTGCTTTTGCTATATTGTTCACTGCAGCAGCATGATCAGCCAATCAAGGCTTTCTATTTCGATGATACTTTAGCGACATTTCGCTTGCTGGTGTTTAAACGGAGAGGCTGACGGTGATGATACATTTATGCTATAATGGCGCTTTAGAGATCTGCATACTGCTTCATAAAGGTGGCATTCAGGAGGTAGAGTTTTAGTGTTATCAATATAAAAGCATATGAAAAGCAATATGATACATATAATCTGAGTCATTAATCTCCATGCTATAAAACATGCAGCTTACCAATTTCCTGGCAGGGTTTGTCTGGTTTAATCCACCTCCCCTGACAGCTGTGACAATGAGGAATGCAGTTACTGTAAAATGATGATGATTCAGTCAGGGGAAGCTTTATTTCTCTGGACCTCTGCGGTATTCATCTCATCCTGTATGCTCTCTTCATAACACCCATCTTTATTGACTGAAGAGACAATATTATCTGATGGGTCTTGGAAGACTGAAGCCTGTCCAGATGGATGGGTGTCATATACTTAGTTAGTTGCACTCTGTTGTCATGACAGCAGTTACAGAGTAGATGCTCTGCATATATTTCTACTTCTAGTCATACTACTAGAAAATAACCTGAAATATTAAAAGGTTTTGGCGCTTATAGAAAATATATGCAAGTTATGAACAGCATACATTACATTTTTGAGGCAGATTGGATGTCTGTGAAAGTCTAAAAAAAGGTGTTTGAGACAAAGTTTAGTCACACTTGGAGCCAAATCTGTGAATTTAGCAGTATGTGTTATGCTACGCTATATCCCCCACCCTGCAAGAAGCTAAAGCATGTTTTTGTAGACTTTGTTAGCGTTCACCCACCATAGTGCTACAGCATGCCAAGCCATCCAAATATCCACAAAATAGATAATTTTAGAAAATTTTAAAATTAACAGAAAAAAAAACTCTGGTTTTCCATATATTTGCAGCTCAACATTTCTTTTCCAACTCATGTTTATTTAAAGTTTAAACTTGGATCTATGAATGAATTCAGACATGTGTAAGTGTGTTTGAACAAGTCAGAAAGTGATGTTCCATCTTTTATCTAGCATAAACCAGTATTAGCAATAGCAATTAGCAATTTACTCTTATCCAGTACGTATTCAGACACTAAAGGAAAATGATCATCAGCAGAGGTTGTATTTTTTGTGTGCCTCTGTTTTAATGACATTCAAACCTTCAAAAATAATACTGCATGTTCCTGAAAATTAACACTTTGGACCTCACCAACTATTCAGATCACTTTTTTTCATCTCAACAAGGTTAAAGTTTAGGCTTAATATCAAACTATTAGGCCCTTGAATTTATAAAGGCTCCATGGCGGAAGTGGTGGTAAATCAAGTTGCTTTCAGCTCAGTGCAGAGGAGCTGCCCTCAGGATGATCCTATCGCTTGTACTGAAGAGGAATTACTGCGCATGTACAATTTCTAACAAGAGTCTATCGATTTTAGTGCCACAAGGCGGAAATACGTCATCCATCTAATATTTTTGACAAACAAAATAACAGTAAAATATTTATCTAACACAGCTAAAAATGTCTGATTTCAGAATTTTATTAGTACTAGTACTAGTCTTTTTTTAAGAGTAATGTCAATGTCAAATTTATTTATATAGCACTTTAAAAACAGGTATAAAACTGCACCAAAGTGCTTTACAGGAAAGACAACAACACCAATTAACAAAACAGAATGTGAAACACTGCTTCAATTAAAGCCGAAGAATAAAAATAAGTTTTAAGAAGTTATTAAAAATGATCCAGGCTGTGTGCAGATTTAATTTGAAGAGGCAAATGGTTCCACTGAATTGGAGCAACAACAACAGAGAAGGCCCGATCTCCTTTCCTCTTAAGTCGAGTTCGAGGAACTGTCAGTAATAGTTGATTATTTGAATGTGAAAAATAGTGAACGGTAATGGCGGCTCTCTTGCTTCTCCTATTAGCCACCCGACACTGCTGGTGATACTGAATATTGTAGCATAGCCTCCTAGCAATTGTTACTGTGAAGTAAGCATTTGCATCACAGCCTCTAAATCTTATAAAGCGCTATTCAGTCTGATTATTTACTGTTAAAAACTCAAAATGCTATGACTCATTGAATATCTACTGGATAATTTTACACTAACAAATATTTCTCAGCTTGGAATAATTATGAAGTGATTAATCTATTGGAAGAATACAAAAAGAGGTGTTTGCATTGATTTTTCTTCCATTGTATTTTTAGGAGCTTAGAGTTGGATAAATCTAAAGAAATCCCTGGTTGGGTTTATTCCACTCTGATTTTTACAGATAATGATTGGTGAAATCTTAACCCTTTATGCCAAAAAAGGAGAGTTACATTTTTCCCATTATAATGCAGATTCACATTTTGTTCTCATATCGTAAAGGGCTTCATCTTTCAAGTTAAATGCATTATTTGACTCCTACTATTAATAAAAAAAATACTTTATTCCAGATAATAGTATCTTTATTTAAAAAGCACGTTAAGGTGAACCATTTTTTTCATTCTGAATGTTGTTCTGCTTACAGCTTTGTAAAATCCGATGTTCTCTGTTAGCTCTGCAGCGGCTGGTTGGCCTGTTTGTTTCATTATTTAAGTTGATAAGTTCTGTGTGCAGCTTCCTTGTCGTCGCTTTTATTCAGACTTTTCCTATCACACTAAGTAATGTGTGTTTGAAGCCATGTATTTTCTTCCGTTTCCGCTCTTCCTCTCTTCTCGTCCTTTTATTTCTCCTCGTCTTCTTTCTGTTGCTTTCTGTTATGGACAATCCCAACCCCAATGTCCTAACCCTGACAGACATATCCAATTACAAGAACAATAACGATGTAGGCCAAGCTGTGAATCAAAGGGATGATTTTTTCACAGTGACCAATGCCATGACTGGGATGAGCCCATCGCCATCCCTCTCTGCCTTGTCCAGCCGTGCCGGCTCTATCGCCAGTCTACATGACCGCATCATGTTCAGCCCAGGCAGCGAGGAGGCCATCGAAAGGCTGAAGGTGAGAGCACACCTGGAAGTTGCACTCAGTTGGTTATATGTAGACCTATTTCAGATGTTATAAGAAAGCCATGGTTAGAGTTTATTTGTTTGTTCTTTTTATAACCAACATATTAATGCAAACAGAGGAGAAAAATTAAGGCAACATTTACTTGACAATCCTCTTATTTGCCCTTTTTGTTTCTAAATGTCAGGAAACTGAGAAAATAATTGCTGAACTGAATGAGACCTGGGAAGAGAAGCTCCGCAGGACGGAAGCCATTAGAATGGAAAGGTAAGATAGTTGGAGCTAATTTAACAAACAAATGGAAAAGGCTGGAGCCCTTTTAAACATCACTTCATCATGCAAGTGTCTACTGTTAGTAATTACACCTTTATATCCATTGATCATCCTAACATTTTCTGCAATATGAAGTTGCAGAACTCACAAACCTCATAATGTGTGTGCTTTCTGCATGACTTGTGAAAATCCTTAGCTTTATAACGTTTGAGTAAAACTCAAAATTAGCTTAAAATTCAGGTGGAAAAAATGTAGGTGATATTTTCATAACATTTACAGTCAAATTCACTTAGCTGACTAGGAGTACTAAATTTAATAAATGCGGCATCCATGCTGGCACCAATCAATTACGTATTGTGCAAACTATTAAACCGTCCCTCCCGCACACCAACAAGCACTCGTCAAGATGCTTTCAAAGTTCTTAGCAGAAACCAGCAAAAATGGCAGCCCTAATACAGGTGCTGGTCATAAAATTAGAATATCATGAAAAAGTAGATTGATTTAAGTAATTCCATTTAAAAAGTGAAACTTGTATATTATATTCATACATTACATACAAACTCATATATTTCAGATGTTTATTTTGTTTAATTTTGATGATTACAAATGACAACAAATGAAAATCTCAAATTCATCATATCAGAAAATTAGAATATTGTGAAAAGGTTCAAAATTGATGGCCCCTGGTGCCACACTCTAATCAGCTAATTAACTCAAACCACCTGCAAAAGCCTTTAAATGGTCTTTCAGTCTAGTTCTATAGGCTACACAATCATGGGGAAGACTGCTGACTTGACAGTTGTCCAAAAGACGACCATCGACACCTTGCACAAGGAGGGCAAGACACAAAAGGTCATCGCTAAAGAGGCTGGCTGTTCACAGAGCTCAGTGTCCAAGCACATTAATAGAGAGGCGAAGGGAAGGAAAAGATGTGGTCGAAAAAAGTGTACAAGCAAGAGAGATAACCGCACCCTGGAGAGGATTGTGAAACAAAACCCATTCAAAAATGTGGGGGAGATTCACAAAGAGTGGACTGCAGCTGGAGTGAGTGCTTCAAGAACCACCACACACAGACGTATGAAAGACATGGGTTTCTGCTGTCGCATTCCTTGTGTCAAGCCACTCTTGAACCACAGACAGCGTCAGAAGCGTCTTGCCTGGGCTAAAGAGAAACAGGACTGGACTGCTGGTGAGTGGTCCAAAGTCATGTTCTCTGATGAAAGTAAATTTTGCATTTCCTTTGGAAATCAAGGTCCCAGAGTCTGGAGGAAAAGAAGAGAGGCACTTCATCCACGTTGCTTGAAGTCCAGTGTAAAGTTTCCACAGTCAGTGATGGTTTGGGGTGCCATGTCATCTGCTGGTGTTGGTCCATTGTGTTTTCTGAGGTCCAGGGTCAACGCAGCCACATACCAGGAAGTTTTAGAGCACTTCATGCTTCCTGCAGCTGACCAACTTTTTGGAGATGCAGATTTCATTTTCCAACAGGACTTGGCACCTGCACACAGTGCCAAAGCTACCAGTACCTGGTTGAAGGACCATGGTATCCCTGTTCTTAATTGGCCAGCAAACTCTCCTGACCTTAACCCCATAGAAAATCTATGGGGTATTGTGAAGAAGAAGATGCAATACACCAGACCCAACAATTCAGAAGAGCTAAAAGCCACTATTAGAGCAACCTGGGCTATCATAACACCAGAGCAGTGCCACAGACTGATCGACTCCATGCCACGCCGCATTGCTGCAGTAATACAGGCCAAAGGAGGCCCAACTAAATACTGCGTGCTGTACATGCTCATACTTTTCAGTTGGCCAACATTTCTATAAATCCTTTGTTTTTATTGGTCTTCAGTAATATTCTAATTTTCTGATATGATGAATTTGAGATTTTCATTTGTTGTCATTTGTAATCATCAAAATTAAACAAAATAAACATCTGAAATATATGAGTTTGTATGTAATGTATGAATATAATATACAAGTTTCACTTTTTAAATGGAATTACTGAAATCAATCTACTTTTTCATGATATTCTAATTTTATGACCAGCACCTGTATATCTCTACATATGTATATGTTAATATTAAGAATGTACTGATTGCAGTTTCCTGACCATTCACCCATGACTGATATTTGAAAAGGGACTCAGCGATCCTGATTTTGGCAGATGCTGATATTTTCTCTTTATCAGTTTTTATAAGATCACTGTAAAAAAAAAGAATTGAAAATTCAATACATGTGAAACAATATAAAGTTCTTATAAATGCACACAATAATTTTTTTAAATGTATATGAAAAATTTAAAGCATTAACTGTGGCTGATTTTCAGCCCCTTGCAGAGGCATCAGCCAATCAGCAACACTAAAATTAAGGAAATAGAGGCTGATTTATCGGCCAACCTACAAATCGGTGCAACCCTAATAAATATATATACTTCTGCTGATTCCACCTTGGGCAGTGAAGAATTTTTTTCCAGTTCTAATTGTCCTTCATCTTTAAAATGTGGACCTGCACCTCAGAAGAGCTCCCTCTACTGGTTGAGGTTGAGCACAAAATTTGACACAGTTTGTAGCTTTTTAGCTGTAAAAAACAGTGAAAATATTTAGCAGATTGTTTCAATCCTCTTATTGTTCCCACAGAGAGGCGCTACTAGCAGAAATGGGTGTTGCAATACGTGAAGATGGTGGCACTGTTGGGGTATTCTCTCCTAAGAAGGTAAACGCATAATCATGTAACACATCTCCAGACCCTTTTTTCATAACAAAGCATTTCTCTTTTAAATTAATCAGTTAAATGCTTACTTATTTACCCCCAAGCCCTCTGATTGCACCAGAAAGCCCCAGCCTGTGTTTATTGACACAGTTGGTCTGTTCTCTCCTAATGAGGTTTGTTGCTCTGTGGTGTGTCTCCCTTCTGAGTGCTGTGAGGGTCTCTATAAGCCGAGGGTATTGGCATGTCAGATGATATTAGGGATTATACCTTAAACACTTTCCTCACCGATGATGCTGATGATGAGGAGGATGGGTGTAAAGATGGTGGGAAAGATAATGGTTATATCCCCATTTTAGTGTTTTCTGAACAGTTTGTCTGGAGTCAATATCTAAAAATCCACAGTAAACACTTGGGAGTGAGGTCAACTGTTGGCTTTGAGCTGGTATTGATTTTTTTAGCCTACCATATGGAAACTAAATGGTTTAACACCAGCTTCCAATCAATAAGTTTGTTCTTTTTCTTTGTCAGACGCCTCATTTGGTGAATCTGAATGAGGACCCCTTAATGTCTGAGTGCTTGCTGTACTACATTAAAGAAGGAATCACCAGGTCAGATAACCTCATTCAGTTAAATACGATTTTTTTTTTTTTTTGGAAAAAGTAGGGATAACTTTTTGTTTTATTTGGCATCCAGGGTGGGCCGTTTGGACGCCAGCAGCCGTCAAGACATTGTCCTCAGCGGTCATTTCATCAATGATGAGCACTGCACCTTTACAAGATCTTCTGGTCCATCGGGGGAAAGTCAGTATATCATTCTGGGTTTAAATAGCTTATTCTTAAGAGTTCATAACTGCTGTAACATCAAATCTCTCTCCGTGTTACTGAGCAGCAGTTGTCCTAGATCCATGTGAGGGAGCTGAGACCTACGTCAATGGGAAGAGAGTGACGGAGCCAACAGTGCTGAAGTCAGGTCAGAATACAGGCTGACTGTGTCCTACTGCCTCTTCTGTCGTAAGATATGATTTTGCTTAATTTTACTGATGTGTATTACCATAAAAGGAAACCGCATAATCCTGGGGAAAAGCCATGTGTTCCGGTTTAACCACCCTGAGCAGGCCAGGGCTGAAAGGGAAAGGACTCCCTGCGCAGAAACCCCTGCTGAGCCCGTCGACTGGGCGTTTGCACAGAGAGAGCTGTTGGACAAGCAGGGCATTGACATGAAACAGGAAATGGAACAGAGGTACCACAAACAGCAGATGTATTAGACAAATGCCTCTTGGAAGTATTTAACTCCTTTCAAGTTACAATTACAGACTTTAATCTATGATGCTGGGCTTTTATGTGATATTCTTCCACACAGAGAAGTGCATAAATGTGACGCAGAAAGAAAACACTAAGCATTGGTTTAAGGTATAGGATAGGATATACCCGATTATCCTCACAGGGCAGAGGTTCTATTTGCTGCAATAACAGCTGCAAGTCAACACCGGTCTGATATTTCAAACTCCTCCTCTTTAAAAAATAGCTGAAAGTCACTCAGAGTTGATGTCTGCATATCTTTCTTTAGTTATGCTGCAGATTTTTAATTGAGTTTTAGCCAGACTTTAACTGAGTCATTCCAAAATGAAAATCTGCTCTGATGAGGGCCCTGTCACACCTTGACGGTTTAGCCAGCGTATGCCAGACGTCCCAGAATCTCCTAAAACGCTGAATTTTCTATGTATTTTTTCAATTTTGGATGTATGCATAGTGTATTCATAACAAGTCCAGATCATACGTCAAATGACAGCCTAACTTGAGCCTTACGCACGGCATCGTAATGCCCATGAAATGAAGCACAAGCCAGTGTCCTTGTGGTGCCCGGCCTGTATAAGAAGATTTATTTGATCGCGGTATTCACATAGCTGCTGTTTACCACCCGCCCGCCCAAAAAAAGAAGAAATAAAAAGAAAAAGGAAAAAGAGAGAAAGAGGGTTTGCAGTCGCAGCAGATTCAGCGTCATGTCTGCTAGGAAGTTTGTTGGTCGTGGTCGTGGGTGTGAACGCAGGGAGGATCCATCACACTCACCTTTCCCTCCTTCCTTCCTATCTTTCTTATTTCTGTCCTTCCCTCTTCAGTCTTCCCTCCCTCTATCTTCCTCTCTATTTTGCTATCATGTTTTCTCTCCCTCCTGCCTTCGCTTCCTTTGCTTCTTGTTTTTTCTCTCTTGCATTTGTCATATTTTACTTCCCTCCTTATGTGGTACCTCAATTGGTTCCTTTTGTCTTTCCTGTCTTCTTTTCCTTGCGCTTTTCTCATGCTCTTCTTCTTCTTTTCGTTTACTTTGTCCTTTCCCATGTCTTCCTAACATTCTGTCCTTCGTGTCTTCCCTACTTTCCATCCACCACTCACTGGGGACTCCTCCCTTCATTCCATGCATATCATCTCCCTTCCTTTTCTCTCCATCCCTCTGTCTTTCCTGTCTTCATGTCTATACAAGCTTTTCTATTCTAAATTTTAAAAAGGACCAAGAACAAGTGTGGACGCAGGGAGGATCCATCACACTCACCTTCTCGCTCACCCTATGATGCGAATGCAGGCTGGAGGAGAACGGTTTCCTGCCAATGCACCATTAAACAGTAGCTAACTTCGAAACACGTTCATCAGTCGTCTGGAATATGTCAAATATGTTGATATGGTGATAAATTCTTAATAGGTTACGCATAAGTTCTGCATAAGCTAGACACCATGACTTGTGAGTAACTTACACTTAACGTATGTCAACGATCAGATAACTTAGCTGTCACTTATGGCCCACGTTTGGCATACGCTATTCTCCACATATCGACATGTGCCAACGTGTTTAAGCATGCTCATAACTTAGACCAAGATGTACTCATAACTTATCCAATGTATCCCAGCGTTTTTGCCAGATGTTCCCCTACGTCAGGCATTCACTGTCTAAATTGTCAAGGTGTGACAAGGGCTTGACAATCATTTCCATTCTTGTTGTAGCTGCTTGTCAAGGGTTGTTTTCGCTCTGGAGGATAAAACTCCAATTAAGTCCAAAATCTTTTATAGATTTAATAAGGTTTCCTGCTAGAATTACCTTGTATTTAACATAGACCATCTTACCATCATATTTCTATGACTCTTTAGTGGGGCTTCCCCAAGGCGTGATACTGCCATTAGCAAAAAAAGGTTCATTCCAGACTAATCAGAGGTCCTTCTTCCACATGGAGGGCTTTCTTTAAACTGTGGCTTTCTTTTTGCAACACTTCTATAAAAGCGTAATTTGTGAAGTGACACTAAAAACTGTCTTGTCTCGTAGCTGTAGATCTGCAGCCTCACTAGAGAACCATTTTCTTTGGCAGCTTCTCTGATGAATCCTCTCCAAAAAAAAGGGTTCTAACCAACATTTTTTTTCCCTTTTCACTCCACAATTACAGACAGCTTCATGCTTATCTGTTGCATTAAAATACAAATAAAGCACAGAGAGGTTTGTGATTGTAACGTGACAAAACAATGAATGGGTGCTTTAGAAAAATGCCAAAAGGTGGGGAAAAAGTAAAGATGAATTAGTCTGGGTGGATGTATTGCCTGTATCACATCTATTTTGACCGCTGTCTTGTGCTTCTTTTAGGCTTCAGGAGTTGGAGGAGCAGTACCGCAAAGAAAGAGAAGAGGCCAACAATCTTCTAGAGCAGCAGAGACTGGTAGAGTAGTTGTCACCTACCACTGTAGAGGGAGTGTTTTTAGGAGTATAATGTAGTTTTTTTTTTAAACTTATTTCTATTGAAAGTTCCGATATCCTACACCTAAGGTGTCTGAAATTCAAACCATCACCTTTTACAGATTTTAAATTGATTTAAATGTGCTTTATTTCAGGGATTATTATTTCCTTTTCATAAACCACACTGACTCATATCTTTTGAAATTCATCTTTAAATAGGTGATGGAGATATCATGAGATTTTTCTTTGTGTAGGACTATGAAAGCAAGCTTGAAGCTCTGCAGAGGCAGGTGGACCGTTGTTACCCAGAAATCACTGAAGAAGAGGAGGAACCTGAAGAAGAAGGTCAGGATGACTTGTGGACCTAATAATTACTTCTGTGACTAACACATTTCTTTTTCACATGAGGGTTATTTCTTTCCTGAATGTTTTACAGTTCAGTGGACAGAGAGGGAGAGGGAGCTGGCTCTGTGGGGCTTCAGGAAGTGGAGGTGCTACCAGTTCACCTCACTCAGGGACCTGTTATGGGGAAACGCCATTTTTCTCAAAGAGGCCAATGCCATCAGTGTCGAACTCAAAAAAAAGGTATATATAGGGTATATATATATATCTATACAGCATAATCCTGTTTTCTTCCTCCTTTGAGCTCAGTGTTTGCTTATATGTTGATTCCCAAATTTGGGCGGTGATGAATAAGTACAGGGCCTTGAGGGTCTGTAAAAATTCACTTAGAAATAGACAAAACCAAACACATTAGTAGTGGATCCTGTTTGTATTTGTAATATATTGATTAATTGATTTATTAAATGTTTGTATCCCAGCCAATAGTTTGGGTCATGGATCAGAGCTAACAGAGGCTTTGTGTTCCCTGCAGGTCCAGTTCCAGTTTGTGTTACTCACAGACACCCTCTACTCTCCACTTCCTCCTGACTTGTTGCCCCCTGAGGCGACTCAAGACAGAGAAAACAGACATTTTCCTCGCACTATTGTGGCTGTGGAAGTCCAGGATCAAAAAAATGGAGCAACTCACTTCTGGACATTAGAGAAATTAAGGTAGGCTGTATTTGTTCAAATGAAACAGAACCTTCACAACCCACTAAAATATATTTTAACTGTATATTACTATGGCTTATAGGTACAAATGAGCTGCAAATACCACATGCAGTAAACCACTCAGAGAACCAGGGTAAAAGTTTGAACAGGTTTATTGATGAAACCAGCGGGGTTGGATTCAGGAAACACAGTGAACTGGTGAACCGGAACTGGAAGAGGGAAGGGAAGTATCAGTGGTTAGTTCAGGATCTGTAGGAACTTTGAACGATGACTTGGAGAGACAGAGAAAACGGGACTCACGTTAGTGGAGAAAACTTTCCTCTCAGTATCCAGTCGGTGTGGGTTTTTCCAGAGGTTGAGACTCGTTGGAGGGCGGACAGGTATAGACTTGGTTAGACCCAGACGAGCTATTGAGTGGACTTTCACTTGCGAATCCAGGAGGACTTGAACGGAACTTGTGGAGGTTTATCCCCTGCTCAGTGTGAGACTCAAACAATCCTTCCAGGGGGAGAAGGCCAAACATCCAGCTTGCACGAAGAGTTCCTGTCGAAAAGACAAAGACAAAAAGTAGGTTAGGCTCAGCGAAAAAACAAAGACTAAGTTAGACTCAGCAAAACTCAGCTTGGCTAGAGTACCCAAAACTGGCAAACGCTCTGGCGTCGAGGTAGTGACAGTCCATGGCTCAAATAGTCCTCAGTGATGAGTTAACCAGCCACAGGTGTGTGAGAGGACCAACAAGGACAGGGCACCACCTGGTGGTGGAGGGAGAGAAAGACACAAAAACACAACCCACACAAACTGGATTCCTAACAAAAACACAAAAATAAGACTTGTAAATGCAGCAGTTAGACTGATACACAAACATGCAAAATGAATGCAAAGAAAAAAAGTGCTTAAAATTGAATACAAATTAATGCATTCATGTAAAAATAGTAAGCACCATAATGCAAAGACGCTGCAAATACGGAAATGATACTTACAAACAAAACGCAAAACTACAGCCTGTTAAGCTGCAAACCAGCTCCTTGAAATAGAAGTGCTCCAGACCACTAGAGGGAGTCAATTGTAAGCTAATATTGTCCATTACTATAGCATTGTCCCCCCTAACTCCTAAATCCCTCAATCACTATATAGAACTGGGACTATATAGTGGACTTAATGGTTGCAAAGTTCTTTTCACGGTGCATTGTGGGAAATCTCAAGTCTACTACTTTTTCATGCTCTAGACCAGAGGTCACGGATTAGCATATTGGGATATGGATCCAGACCCACCTGCTTGCTAATCATATAAATTACTGCATGTTGTCTGATGACTAACTTCACTTGCGCCGCTTCTCCTGATAACATGGTAAAGCTCTCCCGAGTGTCCGGCACCACGCTGCACGTGATACAAATTAGCCAATGTCAAATTAGCCAATAAGCTGCTGTCAGTCAGGGTTACTGCTGCTGCTACTTTTGGTAACAGCAGGCAAACCTGTGTCAAGCCGGGTGATGGGAAAGAAGGAGAAGACGATGAGAAAAAGAGAGCTGAGAAAGTGTGGACTGCTGGAAGAAGCGTTGTGAACTAGTGAAAAAAAAGTGCAATGGTATGCTGAAAGATGACCCTGCACATTTTGAGTATGTTTGGCTCAACCTGCTGCTGTGAAGCAGGATTCTCCACCATGAACAGAATCAAAATAAGTATCAATCAAGGTTTAAAGCATTGGAGGGCAGCATAAAGCCCACTGCTCTCTTTAAGCCATTAAAAAGAAAGAAAGAAAAAAAAAACAGGCAGTTCAAGTTTTATAAAAATATTGAGTCAAGAAATTATCTGTATACCAAACTGAAAGATTGTTGTTCTCTACTTCAAAAACAATTCAGATTTTAAAATTGAAAAACATTCTATTTAAAAAAAAAAATTTTTTCTTTAAAAAAAATCAATGTATAACTTGGATACATAAACACCTGCATTTTATTTACTGTTATATGCTGTTTAAATTAACAGATTATAATTAAAAATGTCTAAGGACCTTTTCATGTTGTTGACTTTATTCATTCAGATCCCAATGATTTTTACTTACCTTTGCTCTAGAGGTGTGAACATTTATCTAAAATGGCGTAACCACTATATAGTGCCTTATATAGGTATTAGGGCAGATGTTCGGACACAGCCTATGTTTTGTTTGGTTTGTCGCAATCCAGGGACTACCTTCTGCGATTGCTGCATTTGCAGACTTATGACAGGCACTATCCCAATCCACAAATCCTCCTAAAAACTCCTTCATATGCAGCAAACAAATGTTCCGATCTGAAGGATGGTTGTGGAGTATCCTTAATGCTCCATAAGTTTCCATGATTCAATGCGAGTCAAAGTGGATTGGACAAGCTCAAGCAACAATGGAGAATTAAAAATTAAATAATAGGTTGAGACGATAAATAACTACTCGGTTTAATTTAGGTCCGACTTCATTGGAAAAAAAAAAAAGGTTTTATCCATCCAGCCATCCATTCATGCATCCATCCATAAAAAATAGATTGAAATGTTCTAGCTTTATTGGTTGCTAGCATGGTTCCTTTGATTTTTTTTAAGACGCGAAAAAAATTATTTTGTCTTTACTAAGCATTTGTTTCCATGTGAATCGAAGACCGTCTCCCCCTAGTGGTCAGGAGCACATTCACAATACAGAGCTAGTTTGCAGCTTTTCTTAACTTGCAGTTTGTTTTTTTTTCTACTTGCAGCCTTTTTTCTTTCCATTTTGTTCTGTGTGTTTACATCGTTCCTGTGTCTGTGGCCAGTTCTCTGTTCGCAGGTCATTTGCATTTTGCCCCATTGTATTTTCATGCTTCCAGTACTTTCTATTTGCTGCGTGTTTATGTATATGCAGTGCATTTGCACCGCTCAGTTACTGTAGTATATGCATCTTTTCACAAAGTTAAATGCCATATTTGGTTAGAAAACCGTTAAACTAAAAACAGAATGCTATGTCTCTTACTAGTTGCTTTGTTTTACAGCAGAGAAGTTGTTATAATCGTTACCCATGTCAACTTCCTGCAGGCAAAGGCTGGAGCTCATGCGGGAGATGTACGACCGTGCTGCTGATGTACCCAACAATGCCACAGATGAAGGTGAAAATGTCATGACAAGAGGCGACCCTTTTTATGATCGCTTCCCATGGTTCAGGCTGGTTGGCAGGTAAATACTGAGCATCCTCCACTAAACACTTAACATCTTGTCACAAAAGTTGGTCCCAACTCGTCAGACCAATGGATACTAAGGGCTAGCTTCATTCTGTCTCATTTCTGAGGGGAATTGGATTATTTCTTTCATTTTTTTTTATGATTTGGTTAAAATAAGCAGGAATGAGGTGAGAAATATTCATGCCCACAGATGATTGTAAATTTTACTGATGCTTTGCTCAGTTTTTGTCTTTTAATTAAATTAGCTTTATGTGATTATTCTTATGATGCACAAATAAACATATAAGCTTTTTGCTTGTACAGGTAACTATAAAAATTTATAGAAAGACATATAAAGATAAGCTGTAGAAAAAAATACTTCAAAGGGGAAATTTCCTTCCATATTTAGTTTTAAAAAATCTCCTCCTTCCTAATATCCTGTTTATATTTCCTGCTCATCTCCTGCCCCTTTTCCTTCCTCTATTGTGTCCTTGCTTTCGTTTAAGTACTTCTGCCCAATCTTCCTTTCTGTTTCCTTTCCTCTGTCCTTTCTTTGCCTTTCCCTCTTTCCTTCCTATCTTTCGTATTTCTGTCCTTCCCTCTTCAATCTTCCCTCCTTCTCTCTTCCTCTCTATTGTGCTATCATGTTTTCTCTCCCTCCTGCCTTTGCTTCCTTTGCTTCTTGTCTTTTCTCTCTTGCATTTGTCATATTTTACTTCCCTCCTTATGCGGTACCTCAATTGGTTCCTTTTCTCTTTCCTGTCTTCTTTTCCTTGTGCTTTTCTCATGTCCTTCTTCTTCTTTTCGTTTACTTTGTCCTTTCCCGTGTCTTCCTAACATTCTGTCCTTGGTGTCTTCCCTACTTTCCATCCACCACTCACTGGGGACTCCTCCCTTCATTCCATGCATATCATTTCCCTTCCTTTTCTCTCCATCCTTCTGTCTTTCCTGTCTTCATGTCTATACAAGCTTTTCTATTCTAAATTTTAAAAAGGACCAAGAACAAGTGTGGACTTTTACATTTCTACCTGGAAATGTTGGAACTGCTTATATCAGGTTGTAGACTACTTGTTGCAGGACATCTTTGCCTTTTTATAAACAGGTTAAGTTAAGCAGCAACATTCTGTTACCCATCAAGAAGTTATAGAAAACAATGTCAGTGAGGTGATTCTCTGCTTCACAGCCGGACGCTTCCTTTTTCCTCTCAGACCTCTCTGTGTTTCAGCTGTATGTTCTCTTCTCTCCATTTGATCAGTAAAAAGTGTCTTCCTGTGCTCCAGTCCGTTTATCTCCAAAATGCTTTCTATCCAACTGTACTAACTTAGTTCCCATGTTTCTGGCTGCACCAGAAATCCCATTTTCAACACGTGCATGAGCGAGCGCATGAGTGACCCTACCCCGTCCCCGACCCTTTCCACCTCTGAAATTACTGAGCTGGCTGACTCGCAGAGGGAGGGTCGAGGGGAGGAGGAGGAGTTGGAGGAATTGGAAGACCTGGATGATGATATCTTTTTGGATGACCCGTGCTTGGAGCTCGGGGCAGAAGATGATGATGATGATGATGATGATGATGATGTTGGAGAGCTCTGCCGAGGCTCCAGCAAAGGCCAGGATCCCTTTTACGACCGCTCTCCATTATTCAGTGTAGTGGGAAGGTTGGTGAGGTTTTAGGTTTTAGGAGCATGCTGGTGGAGGAAACTAGCTCTTTCACACTGAGAAGCAGGATTGTGTTTTTTCAATAGATAAAACATCAGTTTGCAACACAAACATCAGACCAGAACACATGAAGAGAGTAATATGTATGCGGAAATATTTCAATACGGATATATTTCATTTCATTAGTCTAAATTAAAGCTTGTCTGATTGCAGATGTTGTAGTTTCACTTTCCAGGTACGATAGAAAAAGCTGCATCTTTGACATAAAGATGGAGGTTACACATTGGACTGCGGTATTTTTTGCTTTGTTTTCTCTTTTTTTGTAACTTCTTGGTTATTTAAGATTCAAAGGCAAACACAACTCTGATTATTTTTGTATTTTATTGCCGTCTTTATTTTGGACTTTTGTTGTTCTTGTTGTTTTCATCCCAACACAAAGAGTCATAAATACCCCCACCCCACTGTTTACTATCACTCCACTTCTGAATGGCTAGATAGTTCCTGGTTTCATTGTTTTTTATGCTTTTTATTATCATCTTTCCAGTTTTTTTCTTTTTTAAATAAAATGTCATTAAAATGGTTGCTTTACTTCTGTAAAATAGGTTTTTAAAAATCATATCCTTGTTTCTAGTGTAGTTGTGCTTTTAGATCTTTTCGGGGTTTTTTTGGTTTTAAAGTGATGATGACACGATATTGACGTTCTCTAGTATTTTTTATTGACCAAAACATTAATACCGATGATCAATGTAATAATTTCATAGGCACCGGCATAAAATTGTTTTTTAATAAAAAAACATTTGCCTTTCGGAGGACCCCAGCGCTGCTCAGTGACTTAGGAGTGACGATAGAATGAATGAGAGTTGGAACAGTGGTATTCTTATCGACAGCTGGGAGGTTTTTAAGGGATTCAGGTACAGCTCTGCCTTTGCGATGTGTTGCAGCTTTTTCCTTCAACCCCCATAAGGATGTCGTCAGCTTATTTAAGTTCCCTAAGGACCATGAGCTGCCTTCAAAATCAGATGAAGCAGGTCGGATGAGATCGGGAGAAGTTGAAGCACTCCATGGTGTCTATTCTGTGCTTGGAACATTTTCAGAAGGTGTTTTTCGTCTTGTTCCCACATTAAAAGACTCGTTTCTCGTTCAGTGAAAAACTACCGTGAGCAGCTGCTAACAGTCGTACACACAGCGTTCCCCCTGGGGGACTCTGACACAAGACGGATTGTTATTGAGAACCTGCCGATGTTGCTCCCAGCACTTCACTTCTAATGCCATATCCGAAACAAGATGATTTTTTTTAAATAGAAAGAAACTGGAGGCAGATTCGGAACTTAGATCATACCACAGTCACAGGCGAACTTTTTAGTAATAACATGACTGTCTGTTCGGTATTAGGTGTGTTCTAGGTCTGTGGTTTCAACAGATGGTTCAGATGAATTTATGTTGTGTTTTTTGTTGAGGTGGGTGTAGTGCTTTTAAGCTGGAAACAGGCAGATTTGACAACCCTGGCAGTGAAGGACAGGTGGGGTTGCTAGCTATATCTTTATGAATTTAGGAGGACTCATTTGAAAGTCATGTACATTTAAAGTATGGTATTATGAATATTATTAATATTTTATAAAGAAATAACTGGATATACTATTTGTACCAGAGATTTTCAACTGGGGCTGCTGCGGTCATATTAGCTTACACCATCCGGCTCAGAGTCTGACTCTGTAGGCTAGAGGTCCAATGTGGATGGTTCTGACCTGTAAGCTGTGATGTTTCTGTATTTCTCAACGTCCCTATCTGAAATTGAACTGGCTGATGGTTCAGTGACGCAGACCAGTTCCAGATTAGTTGTTCTGGAACATTCATCACATTCATCCAGCTCCATTGTAGAATGTTGAGCTACCTTCAAAAGTGTTCTCCATCTGACGTCAGCTCACAGGGATTGATTTTAAGTAGCTATAAATCAGAGTGCGGCTGTGGTGCTACTAAATGTAGGATATTTGTGTTAAAAATAAACAGTTTGATTAATAATAACTCAGAAACACTTGGTATGCCCTGCTGCATGATCTTAATGCAAAACCACATGAAATCAGTATCGCATCATTAACATTTTATATCCTTTTTTACTCATTAAGATCAATTTAAAACCAGAAGATAACCTGAAAAAAGGTTTTCAAATTAATCCAAACCAGCTTGACTAATATGAAAAAGTAATTTACCGCATACAGAGTTTACGTAAGAAACTGTAGTTTCAAAGCCCTCAGATACCGTATTTTTATTTTAGGAACAGCTACAGGTGTGTTAAAGACTGTTGATCTGCTTCATTAGCATTATTCTCTGATAAAACACATATTTATTGTTCAGCAAAGACTCCACCACCGCCACCTTTGCGGTTGGATGATGATGGACTTTCTATGTACCGGTACTTTACTTCTAAGTACTTTGTGTGTGTGTGTGTGTGTGTGTGTGTGTGTGTGTGTGTGTGTGTGTGTGTGTGTGTGTGTGTGTGTGTTTTGGCCCCTGGGTCAAAAATTCTCCACACCACTGGTCAAACTAAGCACACATTTCTTAAATCTGGACTGTTAATTTGGTTAAACTATGAAGCTTTTTATGTTTTAACAACAGACCAAAATGGTTTTGTTTTTTTGCCACTCAATAACTCAAATCCCAATTTGAAAACTGATTTTTGCATTAATTTAGGAGTACCTTTGTCTTAAAATATGTTTTCTTGACTGAATAAATATTTAAGCTCTATGCGGCTAAGTTAAGGTTTATGTGAAACACATGAATCTGAATCCCTTAGTGAGGCGCTCAGCCATGGGGAATACTGAGGTCTGATACAGGGATCTGTCTAGCATAACAAACAAGCCTTCGGAGAAATTGTTCTTTTCCTGCTGTTAAACTACAATAACTATAACAAATTGTGGGTAGTAACGAGAGGAAAGTCATGTTAAAGAAAACTCAAATTCTCAAGATGAAAGAGCTGGTTTCTACTGCAGCTGTCTCTTTTAGGCATGCCAGAGCACCGTCTTCTCATTTTGAACTTTTCTTTTTCATATTTTTTGGTTGACTTGAACAGATCTAATGATGAACTCCTATTTTGTAACAAATAACACTTTGATCCAGGTGGAGTGTTTTGATTTTGGATGTCATTCATTTTTTTTTTTTTTTTGGTGTAGTCCCTCTATTTACCAAGCTGTTGGCAGTTTTTATTCAAGCTGAGTCATGTTCCGTATGATGGTTTCTGTCCCATTTGCTTTTGGTTCCTTTGAGTCGACCAGTGGAAAGCCCTTTGTATTGACCTTTTTTGTCCTGATCATGCCTTATTTGCACCTCACCAATCTTGTCATGAGTCTCCACCCGTTACATGTCTACCCCCCACCCCCTGGCTTGTTGTAAATGTGATCTTTGACTCCTGGATTTTATATTGCAGCTTTAAAAACAAGATGGCAACATTTATACTTTCCTAATTTTAACTTTATCTCTAGTATCCTGCTAGTATCTAACTATAACTTACAGAACCTTTGGAAAGTATTCATACCTATTAAAATTTTTTTTTAATTTTGTTACACTACAAAGAAGAAAATCAGGGCATTTTATTGAGATTTAATGTGACAGATCAAGTCAAACTGATGTGCAAATATAAAGTTAAAAAAATATGACATTTTTTCAAAGTCACATTTTCATAATGATAAAAATCTGAAAAGCATTTCATATTAATTAAAGGAGTCATAGGCTGATATTTTAATCTCAAATTGTCTATTCATGTTTAGCAATTTTAAGGAGAAAAAAAATAAATCTCATTCAGGCCCATTTGATACCCTTTTTTTCTCTTGCAAGGATCCACAGGAGAATTTGACCTGTTTGTATGTGCGATCCTGTGGATGTAGCATTAGCAACATTAGCGGTTAATCATGGTTTGTTTAGCAGGGTTTCACGCTCTGCCCTAAACCACCTTGAATCAGACCTGACTGCTGTGTTTGTTCGGCCTGATGCTGTTGGTTCAGCAAACCTCTGAGAGCCTCAGAAAAACCTCTGAATTAATACAGAACAAGGATTCTGTTATGAATACATGAGTTTTTTTTTTATTTAGCCTTACATACTTTGTTTGCTAATACTATTTTTTTTAAACAATTTCATGTTCATGTTTTGTTTGTTGCATAAAATCCAAATAAAACACTCTAAAGCTTGTCGCGTCAAGATATGAAAAGGTTTGGGGTATGAATACTTTTGCAAGGCATTTAAATTTTAAATCTGAGATTATTTTAGTGGTTAGCTGCACAAAAACAACATTAAATCTGGGAAGTTTGCCCCCTAAGGAAATTTTTCCCAGTGTGTAAAGTTAGGCCTTACACACATGCTCCTCAGCCTCACCAAGGCTTCATTGGTGCAACAGGGACAATGCATGTTAAATGTCATAACATATTAGCTAATTGGAACCAAAAGAAAAGGCTTTATAAAGCAATAGTAAAGGGCAACCATGGCCATCGCTAGAGCAGTCCCAGCTTCTGTTTGGTTGCTTTGCAGCTCTGTGTTCTGTTGTCCTGCCCGACGATAATGTATTAAATGTGAGCCGCCTCCCCGTCCCCTGCTCTCTCCTTATGGTTTCATGTTAAACGTTTCAACGTTTTTCTGCACAGGGCCTTTGTTTATCTCAGCAACCTGCTGTACCCGGTTCCTCTTGTGCACCGCGTGGCCGTCGTCAGCGAGAAAGGAGAGGTGAAGGGCTTCCTGCGCGTGGCGGTACAGGCCATATCAGGTAAGGCTCTGATCCTCTACACTCAGCGCTGATGCTATCGGCAGTGCATGAAGCGTCTAAAAGATACAGGCTGGGTGCGACTTCTGAAGGGAATGAAGTGAAGGTGCTCTGTGTTTCCCTCCAGCTGATGAGGAAGCCCCCGACTACGGCTCAGGCGTGAGACAATCCGGCACCGCTAAGATCTCATTTGAGGATCAGCAGTACGAGAAGGTAGAGGAGAAAAAAACGTTGGAAGTATTCACATCTGGAGATGTTTAAGGAGGAGGTTTTTACTATTCAGTCTATTTTGGATCCTAAATGTCCAGTTCCAGTCTGAGTCCTGTTCTGTTGGAGTGGGACTGTCCCGCACAGGGATCTCTCAGGAGGAACTTCGCGTTGTGGAGGGAGAAGGCCAAAACAATGAAATCAGCCCATCAGCTGATGAAGTCAACAACAACACATGTGCGGGTAACCATATCTTCTGAGTGATAGTTTATATATATATGGATGTATGGCACTGGTCTGCATATGACTTATGGGCATTGATTAGAGAAATCAATCCATAAGAAAGTTTACAAACTTAAAATAATTTCCCTGGATTTTGTGTAAAAGCGGTCTGTGTATATTCAAGCAGTTCTTTGTTCGTTTGAAACCAACAATGAAAATCACGAAAACCCACCAGTATTTTTGTTTGAGCCCAGAACAAGAAAAGTTATTTAAAAAAAATCTAATTTCTGAATTTTTTGCTGAAAATGGAAATGACAAATAATGAACGCTTGACTTTTTTCACCATATTTTTAAACCCTAATCTGTGAATTCTCTCTTCCCCACATATGCCATGTGTTGTACACGGGTCCAAAATGGCGTAAAATGTTTTTTATTTATACTCTCAGGAAAACTTATATTCAGATATTCTTTTGTATTAGATTTTGATTCCCAGAAATTTGGGTCTAATCATCCTGATGGCCAGTTTGCTGAAACGGGAAGTAAGTTGTTGTCATGATGGGGTTTCAGAGAGTAAAGCCCAAGATGCAGAACACACACGGAGACACTGGGTAAAAAGTCCAAAAAAGTTTATTGTAGCACAAAACACATGAATAATGAAACCGGAACAGTTCAGGCAGGGGGCTGGTTCACTGGGGACTGTGCAAGGAAGGGAAGAAGGCTGGTAGCTGAGTTCAGGTGTGGCTAAGCATCTAGCTTAGGGTTAGTCTGGCAGTCCTGGGTTTGGAGCTTCCAGCTCACTGCAGAGAACAACAGGGGAAAACACGGAGGGTCTTTCAGGCTGAGCTTCCAGCTCACCGTAGGGAACAACAGGGGAAATCCACATGGGAACCTCTAGGGAAACTCCTCAGAGAAGTCGTCAGGTTTCATCCACGTAGAAATCTTCGGGTTGGCTCACCAGGGCAGATTAGCCGGTTAGACCTTCCAAGAGCTTCAGGCTTGAGACTGGTTTCCTGGGATGCTGCTCTCCCTGAGCTGCAGACCAGAGACAGGGTTCCAGTGAAGTTGCTCTTCCTGAGCTTACGAGGAGACAGGAGGTTAAGCTCATCCAGAGCTTCACGAGGAGACAGGAGGTTAAGCTCATCCAGAGATTCAAGAAGGGACAGGAATCCTGTGAGGCACAGATAAAGGAGAGATTAGAATGTGATCTCAACCTAGAGACAACCAAGACTCAATCTGAAACTGAAGGCTCAGGAAGCTAACCAACTAAGATCAACACTGCGGCGTGGAATCTAGGTCTGAAGGCAGCTTAAATACTGTGGTCCTCCTGATGAGTAGATCAGCCACAGGTGTGTGAGAGGCTCAGCTCAGGAGGACCCACGGCGCACTCTGCTGGAGGCAGAGGGTAATCTCCAGAACCTAAGGAAAGACAAAGAGCAGAAGAGGATCCTCGGCGCCCTCTGGTGGGCAAGCCTGAGGATCCCAACAGTTGTTTCAACCTGATCTCCATGGCAACTGTTGTCAAGCCTGCAGAATGTTGCTGTTTTTTGGGGATTGGGGTGGGTGAAAAGGAAGCGGGTGGGGCTGAATTGGGGCTCCTTGGCTCTTGCAGCGAGCGCCAACTCAGCTTTCGGTTCCTAGATCCTTTGCTCTCAAAGTTAACCCTCTATTTCCTCCATTAGAATAAAATGAAGCTCTCTTGTACAAAATGTTTATTCTCTCCTTTGATTTTCTTGGCCAAGACAGGTTTCCAGGGTTAGGCTACTTGTCTCATGGAGAAAAAAAAAGCAATCTACAGCCAGTTATTTGTTTTTTACCATTTTTGTTCTGCATAAAGCAATGGAATAATGGTTTGTTGTCCCTTTATCCGTTTTGGTTTTGGTTGGTTCAATAAATAAAAAAAACAAAAAATGCTAATGTGTTTTTCATGTTTGGTTTCAAATGAAAAAACAAACATCACGATTATATACGGACAAGAGGTGAAAAGCGGCGTCATTTTTCTTTTTTTTTTTTTGGTATCAGCTGGTTCAGATGAGTTGGAGAACCCAGAGAAGGCCGGTATCGATGCAGCTCTGGAACACCTGAAGATTGGAAACATCTTCACATTTAGGGTGACCGTCCTGCAGGCCTCCAGCATTTCTGCAGAATACGCAGACATCTTCTGTCAGTTCAAGTAAGCGGGCATCCATCAGAGGAAAGAGATCCTGGATCGTCTCTATTTACTCTTCTTGGTTTATTTGATTCTTTTGCATTTTGTGTTTTTATTTCAGCTTCATCCATCGGCATGATGAGGCCTTTTCTACCGAACCGCTGAAGAACACGGCCCGCGGCCCTCCTCTTGGCTTCTACCATGTGCAGAATGTGAGACGCATTAGTTGGTGACATGACCCAAACAGGAATCTGTCCCTCTTTATCACCGTCTGTTTTTTGCAGATTGCTGTTGAGGTGACCAAATCCTTTGTGGACTACATCGGGACTCAGCCGATCATCTTTGAGGTGTTTGGACACTACCAGAAACAACCTTTTCTTCCGCTCTGTAAAGATGTCAGCAGGTGAGACCTGTGCTCCATAAGTTAAGCAGGCATAGGGAAGATGAGGTGTTAACATGTAGCTTTGTTGTTACATCCAGTCCTCTGCGCCCGTGTAAGAGGCAGTTCCCACAGGTGATGCCTCTTTCCAAACCAGGTAAGAAACTCCATGCTTCATCTATTTACGCCGCATTGCTTGTTTTGTTTTTGTTTTTTTTGTTTTTTTGCACCGTTTTGCAAGTCATGTCATCTCAGCTTCGTGTTGTTGGGTGTGAGCAGTGGACTCTGACGACCCGTCGAACCAGGAGAAGTCGCTGGAACTGATCCGATACTTGGTCCCGGATGTGTTTAACGGGCCGCTTGTGGACTCGCTGTCAGGCCACGCTCTGTCTGCTGCTGGCTTGGCTGCTTCCTTCCTGCTGGAAGCAAACGAGCGAGCTCAGCTACCGGCTCCGCCCATCTCTATCTGTTCAGTCATTAAAGCTCAGAAGCCCGGTTGGTTGATGTTAGCCGATCCAGGAGACTCCTGCAGCTGGAAGCCTTTCCTTATATCAGCTGCTTATGAAAATATCTCAACAACTTCTTTATCACGCCATCATTACTTCTTATCTATATAATTGGAGAAAAAACTTTCAGTGAAGGAAATACAGCCTCTTTTGGACATCTCATTTCTGAATCTATTGCTCATAGCTCTACATTCAAACCTATGTAGGATTCAGATATATTCCTTTCATAATAGAAACAGTTACTAGTTTTTATAACCACATTAAATAGTAATAACCACCATACATAAATACTGTTGGTAAACATGAAGGGGCTTGATATAAAAAAAGAGTTCCTGCTTCAGGATTCTGCAGCTGGATCGGCTCTCTGGTGCTTTGTGTGTTTACTGTCGACCTCTGTGGTGAATCCTTCCTGTTCCTCCTCTGAGCTTCTCTTGAAATCAATCAAAGTCGTGACAAATACTGTCCTCCAGGACGGCGGTTCCTGTTTCGCTCTGCTTTCCATTCATAAAGTAGGACTTAAGGTTCCTGTGTAGAAAAAAAAAAATCATAACTAGGTGAAATCAAGGATTACACGAATAGTATTGCAAGTTAAGTAAAAAAAATATGCAGCAGGGTAATTATATTCCTTCATACTCCCAGAAGATTTGATTCCCTTTCAGGTGTTTCATATTGCAGTTTTTTAATCTGGGAATTTGTGTAAAAATGTATGTGGTTTTTAAAAAAATATTTACAAACAGAAGTCTGAGAAGTGTCGTATTTCTGTAGTTCTTAGAGCTGTAGGTCTTTGTGTTTACCTGCTTTGCACATAGAGGGGGACACTTTTCATTCAAGGTTTAAGCTCAGTTATATGAGATGAAAAACAACTGTAAACATCTGTTTTTATGTCTCAGAGTCACTTAAACTCCTCCTCATTCTTAAGTCATATATAGCAGGTTTCCCTTCTGTTCCTTTATTTAGCTCCATCCATGTTTGAGTTTGTTTAGTTTTAATCTCATCTGTCCAGAAAAACCTCCCTCCACATGTTTGCTGTACGACCTGAAGTGTTTGTGTCAAACAACAACCCAGACTTAAGGTTTTTCTGTAGACTTACTGATTTTATTTTGTGGTATATCTGTAAAGCGATAATTATATAATACATGGGCACACCACACTTTTCAGTTTTTTGTTTGTTAGCTGTACTTGTCACTATCCGATCCGTCCCGGAAGCATGATCCGTCTTGTGCATGCACGAACAGATATACACTACCGTTCAAAAGTTTGGGGTCACATTGAAATTTATTTTTTATGGAAAAGCACTGTACTTTTCAAATAAGATAACTTTAAACTAGTCTTAACTTTAAAGAAATACACTCTATACATTGCTAATGTGGTAAATGACTATTCTAGCTGCAAATGTCTGGTTTTTGGTGCAATATCTACATAGGTGTATAGAAGCCCATTTCCAGCAACTATCACTCCAGTGTTCTAATGGTACCATTTGTTTGCTCATTGACTCAGAAGGCTAATTGATGATTAGAAAACCCCTGTGCAATCATGTTCACACATCTGAAAACAGTTTAGCTTGTTACAGAAGCTACAAAACTGATCTTCCTTTGAGCAGATTGAGTTTCTGGAGCATCACATTTGTGGGGTCAATTAAATGCTCAAAATGGCCAAAGATTTTTTAACTTTCATCTGACACTGGACAGGCTATTCTTGTTCTTAGAAATAAAAGCTATTCCATGCGAGAAATTGCTAAGAAATTTAAGATTTCCTACAACCGTGTGTACTACTCCCTTCAAAGGACAGCACAAACAGGCTCTAACCAGAGTAGAAAAAGAAGTTGGAGGTCGCGTTGCACAACTGAGCAAGAAGATAAGTATAGTAGAGTCCCTAGTTTGAGAAAACAGACGCCTCACAGGTCCCCAACTGGCATCTTCATTAAATAGTACCCGGAGTAACCTGTTTTTGCTGTCCTCTGAAGGGAGTAGTACACACCATTGTAATAAATCTTCAATTTCTTAGCAATTTCTCGCATGGAATAGCCTTCATTTCTAAGAACAAGAATAAACTGTCGAGTTTCAGATGAAAGTTCTCTTTTTCTGGCCTTTTTGAACGTTTAATTGACCCCGCAAATGTGATGCTCCAGAACTCAATCTGCTCAAAGGAAGGTCAGTTTTGTAGCTTCTGTAACGAGCTAAACTGTTTTCAGATGTGTGAACATGATTGCACAAGGGTTTTCTAATCATCAATTAGCCTTCTGAGCCAATGAGCAAACACACTGTACCATTAGAACACTGGAGTGATAGTTGCTGGAAATGGGCCTCTAAAGTGACCCCAAACTTTTGAACGGTAGTGTAAATCCGGGTGTCCATAAATAATGTAATTATGGCACTAAAATTACTTAATTCTATCCTTAACTCACTAAAGAATGCTAATACACATCTTTAAAAATCTTTTATGACTTTTGTAAGACAATTTTGATGCTTTTTACATTTTCTTCGTTAAACTGCTTCTCTGATGTCATCATGGGACATGCTCCGAGCAGTCCGGCAAAATATGATTAAACCATGTTTGTCTGCATTTTAGTTGTTTCTTTCTTTAGATTACGCACTATATGGTATAAGGTTAAAATGAAACGAAAACATAAAACTCAAAAAGACTAGATTTATGTTTAAACCCAAAGCCGAACAAGTTAGCGACCGGAAGTAGCGTACGATCCCATTTCGTGTGCAGAGAGGAGTGATAAAACAGAAGGGATTTTAAGGCATGTATTTTCTCAGGAAATACATCATTTACCTTTAACACATTATATTTTAGTATGTTTACTATTTTTTTGGGGGGAAACAACATTTAAGACTTTTTAACTAAATAAAATCAAGGTCGACCTGGATGTATATCTATCAACCAGCTCCATTTTTTTTTTTATATTTCTCTTTTTCAGATGAAATTTTACTACTTGTATTCTTTTCACAGATCATCTTCTCTTCACTTCCATCCCAGTACTAAAGCTCACTTTAGACCAATAAAAATATTTTTGCTAACGCCCATGCAGGCCAATAGAAATGCTCCTCTTTCCAGAGCAAGCACCGCCCCAGAAGAAAAGGGAGTGGGATCGGACACTATTTGTAAAATTTTATTTGAAAAAGCAAAATAAAAAAATTAAAAATTAAAATTTGAAAAAATAAAATACAAATAAAAATACTAGAATAAAATTAAATGTGAAAAAGCAAAGTTGCACTTAAATCCTTTTTTTGTTTTTTTTATTAAAATTCTCAGAAGCACTAAAAAAATACAAAAAGCAGCAGTTGAGGTTATGGTCTGGAAAAATTGAAAGGTTTCTCCCTCTACAAAGAGAGTTTCCTTTTATTCCTGCATCACTAAATTCCTCTTATCTTCCCTTTCTTCTTCCGGCTAGCTGTATAGCAGCTCTTCTCCCAGCTTGTGTTTTCTTGTGTAACACAGTTAAACCATTTTGTACCCAGTGCCTGCCACCAAGCTGAAGGCCATGACACGTCCACAGGCGGGGCCCTGCCACTGTAAACACGATCTGATGGTGTTCTTTGAGATCTGCGAGCTTGAGGCCAACGGAGAGTGAGTAGCCATTTTAAACCCGCTGGTCTACTCACAACATATAAGAACCGGTTCCATGAAGGGGTTGTTTTTACTTTGTTTGTGCCAGTTACATCCCTGCTGTTGTAGACCACAGAGGAGGCCTGCCATGCCAGGGTACATTCCTGCTGCATCAGGTGAGGACAAGCAGTGAGGAAAATATAAAAATGTTCAAATAAATAAAATCCTTCAAACAAAACCAGCATCTCCTTTGCTCCGATCCAGGGCCTCCAGAGGAGGATTGCCATCACAATCGTGCATGAATCTGCTGGAGACATAGAGTGGAACGACGTCCGGGAACTCGTTGTGGGTGTGTTGACATTTCAGCTTCCTTTAACTTGAAGCAGCTCATCATAAATCTCCAACAACACTCCTTACTATTACACTTATTCTTTCTCAGGGCGTTTGCGAAACACCCAGGAAGCTGACGAGACCATCATCGACCCAAATATACTCTCCCTCAACATCTTATCGGCCGGGTACGTCAAGCCCTTGCAGGATGACAGGTGCGTATCGCTTCAGACTTTTCAAGCTCGATAATAGATAATCGGCTTGATATGTGATGGCATTGTGGCTGAAATTGGAAACATTTGCATTATGAAACTTTGTGTCACAGTTTTATCTTCTATTTCGCTGCTCATGCACTGCAACAAGCCAAAGAGCCTTGCATGTGACCAAGCTGCACCTAGCCCAAAATAACAAATGTAAAACTTTCTCATTCCGTCTGCATGAGTTATTTTTTCTTTCACACCTCCAGAGTGATCAGAATAGTGTATTAAACACCTCAGAGGATGCAGTGAAAAAAAGGATCTGGCTTCAGGGCCCTCCTCAGTGTTAGTTTGTTCCTTATCATCACACCTACATGTAGCATATCTCCGTGTCCTTCATCCTGCCTCAACCATATATCTATAAACCTGATTCCAACCCCCACAGTTAGGGCGATGTGTGGCTTCTTATCTGATTAACAAAGTATGGAGGGAATTTTGCTACATAATTATAAGTGAAGAACTGGAAATAAAAGAAGCATTCTAGAAATAAAGCTTTAAATCTTAATAAAATATATAGGGCAACTTCACTGTTTTCTCTGTTATTTTTTCTTTTTTTTTTAATTCTTTTTTCACATTTTATATTTTCATTTTTTTTTTCAGTTTTACAAATAGGTTTTTTTTTTCAATTTAAGCTTTACAGTTCACATTCTTTTCACCTAAAGTAAAATACAAACGCTCGCTCTTAATGAGCACATTGACCAGTAATGTCCGGAGGAAAGCCCACCCCCAGAGGTGAAGGGCATGTGATTTGAAAAATGCTTTATAGTTAGTTTGATACAGAGAAGTTATAAAAAAAGATATAATAAAAATTGTGTTAAAAAAATCAGAATAAGGGAGAATCATTTATTAAAAATCCAATTTGTTTAATTAGCAAGGTTACATTTAAAAACGTTTTTTTATTTATTTTTTATTTTTTATGTACTTTATTTCAAGATTTTGGGGGTTGGATTTTTTGGTTCAAATTTCATTTAAGAAAATATGTTTTTTGCAGCAATAATGGATCAAAATTGACTCCATATATACTTAACCAAGCATCTTTACCTGTAATTTATAACCAAAATGAATTTTTATTCCAATGCTTTTCATGTAAATCCAGCACAGTGTAATTAACCTTTAAATTAAGCTCTAAAATTCAAAGCATGTCTCACCAGACTTCCAGGGATGTTATTCAGTAATAGAAGCATTCCTTCCTTATTTGTAACTCCTGGTATTTGAGGAATTAGATCAGCAATTATTTGTTCCCTCTGATCATATATTTTCTGATAAAGAAACTGATTATTTAGCTTATAAGATTAATGTTGTTCCTAAAAAAAAAAAAAGTTTTTGCAGATGTGTGCCCCCCTCTGGCAACAATCTGAAACGACAACCATGTTATGCAATGCTTGGGAGAAAAGAAAAAAAACAACTCAATCACTGCCACTGCACACTTGGTTTAGAGATGTTAAGTAATATGGTAAGAATATTATATTAGAATGATTTTGAGTGGGCCATTACATATTTTTAGCAACGGAAAATGTCCTTGTTGGAATCTTCCCTAACATTTACTTTTGTTTAATGCCATCTCTGATTAGACCCCAGTTTATCTCTTTTCATCACACAAACGTTGTATTTTCTTGCTGTTGTTTGGAGTCTGATGGGGTTTGAGGCTTGACCTTTGTGATCAGGCTTCCCCTGTTCTCTCATCAAAGCAGCCAGGTGGAACTAGAGCGAGCAAAGTCACTCCCATGCAACTAATGAAGCCTTTAGAGCCCACTGTGGTAATAATGAAACACTCATTTTACATGTCAGGAAATTGTACGGCATGTATAGTAATATATATATAAAACGGCTCATTAAAAATCATTAAAAGTCATTAAATTATTATTTTTAAAATCTAACTTTAACATAACAAGCAAGAAATGTGACTTACAGCCACAAGAGGGGAGTAGAGGTTTGTAAAATCTGTCCTCTTTAGTTGCATTTTCCTGTTCTATATCATTCAGTAAAACAAATAAAAAGTCAGCATTCAAACTTTTAAAAATGCTTACTTATAATAAGGATTCTAGCAACACCATTCCTAAAGCCCATTACCCTGTAAGTATTTTAACATTTCTGTCACAAATTAAATGTATTTAGGTTGTTCACATTTCAGATATTTTTTTCTCTGTTCTTCCCAACTGTGTCCTTTAATTCCAGTTTTCTTTGCCTAATACAACTTTTTTTTAAAAATTCAGTCCTCTTATATATATATATATCTTTAAAAATACACGTGTCTCTTATTCCACTTTGTTCTCCAGCAGATTATATAATATATACATATTTTATGTAATATTAAAATCAGGACATATTAGAGGTAGTTTGATGTATGTAGTGGGGATATATTTCAGTGAATATTGATGCCTTTTTATTTTCCCAAACAATTTATACTTTTTTCACCAAATATTTTTAAATAAATGTCCGTTTTAAGACTTTTAAAATCTCAGCTTCCAAAATTTCTATCGAAGCTCATCGAACCATTTCTCATTTTATATCCTTTTATCTGTTTTTAGAGTTCATGTTCCTTAAAGCTGTTCTTTTTTGCTATTCTAAAGAAAAACCGATTATGCTAACTTATTCTACCCTGACTCCACTAACAGAATGTTGATCTTTTGTTTTGTTTTTGCTCTGCAGACAGTTTCTTGATTCGGACATGCCTAGGTATATTATCTGCCTGTTATCCGTGATCTTCAGCTACACAAACACCACATCTTTCTAACCCTCTGAACATCCTACCATCTCTACTCGACCTTCAGTGATTTGATTCCTCACTCACCTTCTCTCTCTCTCTCTGTCTCTGTCATGACTTCCAGTTATTTCCCTGTTCCCTTTTCTGTTTCTCCTCCTCATAGAGGAGTGAAGGGTCTGCTCCTGCATGTCCCCGGTGCTCTTGCTCTTGCTGTGCTGGATGCGTGTTTGGGCTGTTACTAGCCTGCCGTTAGGGAAAGATGAGGTCTGCATGGCTCTGCTTTGCTGAACGTCGGCTGACCATTGTCTCTGCTGGAGGCGACATGGACCCAGTATTACTGCTGCAGGATGCCTCTGACAGCATAGAGTCCATCGGGGAGCTTTGGACAGAAAGTAGACCTGTTCAGTTGTTGTAAACATGTTATTTTACCTTATTAGATGGTATATTAATCTGAATAGAAATACTTGTTCACAGGAGCATCTCTCAATGGATTAATGCGTAGATTGATTGCACACAGAGTTCTATTTCTAGCCTTTATTTCTGGATAAATCTATGATTTTGGTTTATTACTAAGAATGTAAATCAAAACTACTGCACCCTCTTTAGGTCAGGCTGTTCAAACTGAGTCACAACACGGCCTTAAAGCTCTTTCTGGGAAAAAAATCAGCATCTCTATAAAGCTTGATAGCTCAAGCCTGAACTCCTGAATGCTCTTTGCTTTGCAGTTCTCCCAAGGGTTTATTTTTTCTTCCACTTAACTTTCAATTCAGTTTGATTCATAGAAAATGTTGTTTGTTGTGATTTTATAAGTATTGTCATTGTTGCTTCTTTAAAAGTAAAATGTATTAAAAATTAATTAGTATCAGCATGTCAAGGTTTTTGCAATCCTGTTTATCTTTAAAACCAGCAAACTAAACATCAGGGAAAACCCAAAACTAACTCATAGTAAAGCTATTTAAAAGTTGTCTTTACTATGCATGGATCCATGCATGTAATGACAGATCCAGCTTAGCTGTGGCATTTTGTGGCTTATTGTACATTAATTTGTACGTGTAAAGCCCATTTTTTAGCTCTTAGGCATTATATGATTAGCTCTAAGCCATACTATCAAAATCAACAAAAATAATTTCTTAAAATGTATTATTCTGTGTGTAATTTATTTGTTAACCATTTTCTCCTTTCTATATTTGAAAAAAAAAAAAAATCCACTCTGTGATGATTTTGAAATGAATGAGGTGACCTTTTCTGCCTAAGCTGAATTTTTTATGTACTTAAGACCTTCTCCCCCCCATATCAGACTTCTACACTAACAAGAAAATGCTGCTCTAACTTACATGTATTGCTTCAGTTGATGGTTAATCGCCCAATTGAATTTAAGTTTTCAACTTATAAATTTAATACATTAAGTTGGTTCAATTTGATTATTACCAATTAAAGCTAATCCTCTAAGTCGGGGCAACATTTTCTTTTTTAAAGTGCACACCTCTCGCATCTAACTTAAAAGGAGAGGGACTGACAGTGAATTAATGCCTCAGTAAATACTCTAACCGAATGCTAAGCTAATAAATTTTGATCTAAAAAATCAATAGAAAAATTGCTTTTATAGCGCCACGTCACAATACATTTGGAGCTGACACCACTAATGATTCCAAATTAAATTGCCGTAAACTGGTTAAAAGCATCCGCTGCAGATCCACCAGGTTGTGCAACAGCTTCTTCCCCACTGCCATCAGACTGTTGAACCTTTGATCCACAATCCGAACTCTGCACCTATTGCACATTATCGGGCATCAAATGCTGCTGAACTTTTAACTTTTAGCCCTTTAAAGTGTTCATCTCATTGTATTTTTCAATAACGCATTTTTTGCACAAATGCCATTTTGCACTGAACCACTGCAACTTGCACACTGTCTCTATCCTCTGCACTGTTCACACTTTGACCACTGCTGCACTTTTTGTATTTTTCTATAACTCGTGCCATTTGAAATATCAATGCAACGTTCATAAGCTGTATGTAACGCAATTTCGTTCTGTATGCACCCTGTGCATACAAAATGACAAATAAAGAAGTCTAAGTCTAAGTCTAAAGATGAGGCGTGTTCCAAACTGATTGCTGTCAGTTGATGGAAAAAAGAAGTGGATCTTGTCTGGTTTACAAGTGGAAGACTTCAAGTGCAGACTTTGGATTCCGTTCTCTTGACTTTTTTGTAATAAAAAATATATACTCATACAGTTGTTAAACAGCCATAATCAATATAAGTATTGAATAAAATAAAAGAAATAAAAATAAGAAATATTTGTACTCATTTAGATAGAAATTAGATAAAGAGCAAACACACCAGATACAGTTAGCACTGAACAAATCACCACTTCACAGGTTCAGTTTTCTATTTAAAGCCTACAAGTACACTGCTATGCCACAATAATGCTGGCATGACCCAAGTCATAGTGAAGGTGCACTAGGACACTTATGCACCTCTGCCACATCTAGCAGTGTTAATTGGTGTAAACATTTATCTCCAAATTACTCTTAGCCCCCGGGAGGGTAGGTGTAAAGGCATCTATTAGTTTTGCTGACATGTTTCTTCTAAGAGTCTCTCAATCTTACTAGTGTTAGAAACAGAAGCCAATATGCAAGAAATGTGCTGTAAAATGGGACATCAGCACTATAAGACATCCATGTGTGCAGTTTTAATAATAAGATAATAATAAGAAGAGCATATGTTCACCTAATTGCCAGCAATGGTCGGTAACAAAGTCTTAAGGTTTGTGTTTTTATGGCGCTTTTTCACATATATGTGCAAATATGGAGGAAACTGTGTTTAAAAACACAGTTTTAAGGAAAACTGTTTCTATGGTCGTTATGTGTTACGGTGACATGCACTGGACTTAACCCTGATGGAGGGAGCTCAGATGTCAAAGGGCCGATACGCTCATAGAAAGGCTGGAATACACTGGCGAGAACCCTGATATCACATCTAGGGTGAGAAGGGGTGCATTTTAAACACTCTTAGTAGCAGTGCCTTATTTAGTATTATTATTACGTTTTTTTTATCCTGTTAATCTTTACAGTTTTGTAAAGAAAAATCCAGAAAAATATTTTGACCTACAGTAGTCCAACACCTCCCCATTTTTTCCAGGAAAGAAATTCCATTGAGATAGTTATTTTCTTTTACAAGTATGTCCAAACCAAGCACAAGGTGTAAGGTTGATCATTTACTGTACATTACCCCGCTATGGCATGACATTAATATTTAGCCGTTCTACTTTAACCGCTAGCTCAGCAGTAGGTCTTTGCCCTTTTAGATCGCTGCGATGTTGTGGATATATTTAAACCTTCCCTGTTACCTCAGGGTAAGCTTTGCCAAACAGCAGAAACAAATGCTACTTCAAATGTCCTGCCAGCAGCATGACTTCAGAGCTGGCTCCCAGCGTTTTTAGTAGGCAGTAAAAGGCGGAGAGGCACATGATGGAGGAAATTGCTCTGCTTCCAGTATTGGCCAACAGCTTTCTACTATTTGGAATATAGTAGTTATTAGGTTACATAAGTACGATGTTTGAATCGAATGAACTTGTTGATTAATGACGAGAGAAAGGTCATCTCTGCAATCCTGAAACAGGGCGTGTCTGTTCACCGTCTTCTAGGTGACACATTGTTCACTTTAACAGGAGGTCATTTCAGTCCAGGAGTGGTAGGCTGAACATCTGAACATCATGAAGAGCCCATTCACTGCGATTTTATGGCCCACAGAAACACTGGTTTCCTTATACAAATTTTCGCTTGGATAATCTCTTTAAGATTTAAGGCAGCCACTGGACCACAGGCCTGAGGAGCAACAGCTTTCACTGGCTGATTATTTTCCACTCAGGGAGACGGCTGAAATTGTTTACATGGAGTAAATCACTGGGGCAGCAGAAAAGCAGCCTTGTTGTCGTTTACAGTGGATCAGCTTCTCCTCTATCCGTTTAGCACTGTTTTTATGATGAGAAATCAATGTGAGCAAAGACAAACACCATCCCAGCCACACAACTGCAAAGCCACGTCATACTCTCTGACTCTTACTTTCTATTCTTTTGCTGATTTCTTCTTTCTCACAGCATTTCCTTGGGAGTTGACCATAGGTATTTCACTGCCCTGTCCCATATATTTTCTCTGTCCTTCTCTCATTCCTCCTTTTCTTTTGAATTATCCAACCCATTGATGCTTTTAATTGCTTTTCTGTGGTGCTGTGTTCAAAGTAAGCCATCTGATTGTGTTGCATGCTAAACTGAAAATCATATACACATTTTTATGACTTTACGCCTTTAATAACTTTAGAAGATACTTTTATGTTTTCAGGTAATTTCGTGCATATTTTTCCATATAAAATGCTTTTGTTACTGAAATATGTTTCCTTTTTCCATATTAGTTTACTTTTTAACAGAAAGACATTTTAGTAAACATGTTTGTTGAGATGCAACGATCAGTCGGAAACGGCGAGGAATCAGCTAATATAAAATCAGCTCATTCGTGAAGAGATTTGTTTTTCTCCCCTATTAAGCATATGCATCAAAGCGAAGAACCTGTGAGATTTTATACCTATAAAGTAATAAACCAGCAGTATGTATTTTTATGTGCTTTTTTAAATTTTATATAAACCAGATAAAAGTTAAGGAGTTTTTTTATGCTTTCAATGGATCCTGTAATTCCTTGATTTTCTGTTGAATTAAAAACAGTTACCTTCTATTTAGCTGAATTTGGGCTTTAACATTTGCTCAAAAACATTTTTAAAAAGAAGATAGTTTTTAAACTGGAAAAGAAAGAGCATTTGGGACAGAAGTGTTTTTGAAACAGAAAACCTTCTGAAATGTAAAAAAACTTGAATCTGAAAAGTAGTTTTGAGCATTTCTTGTCAGTTTGAAACATTTTCTCTTCAGTTTAAAAAATACTTTTACTTCAAAACCTTTGTCCAAACCTTTTCTCTGGTTTGACCAATATATATATTTTTTTTTATTCATTTATATTTAAAACCTAAAACCAGCGGCAGAAACACTAAATGGGGGTTTTGGATACTTGAGATATATGGAGAACAAATTCCCATCAAATAAGTAAAAGTACCATGATACACGTAGATATTTTATTTGAGATTGTACATTTTATTCATATTAATCCAAATACTACAATAAATATACCGTACAATTATAACATACAACATAATTAAATGTCCCATTAAATGTGAAAAAATATATAGTGAAACTGGGAAATAGCATGCAAGTTTAAAAGAAAAATATTTCTCATAAAATGAGTATAAATACTTTATTATATTTTTATCTAAATATAGAGATGATTTTATTTATTTTAGGTCATCAGTCTGGTACACTGTTATATTTTGGTAGTTTGTGCAGTTTTTAGGGATTTTTCTGTTAAAGTTTTTCAATTAAATAAAATGTAATCTTTGAAGGAGTGTTGTGGTCTTATAAGAACTCAAAATGTCAGTTTTAAAAAAAATAATCAGTGTCAACATGGTGAGCTTTTCAATGATTGGTGATATGTAATTGGTAGCCTAAACGTCGCTACAGCCTGATCGGTGCATGTCTGCCTCCTTCTTTACGTGCATAGAAATGTCAGTCCTCACTACTCACACCGTTTCTTGGTTTCCTTTCTTCTGGACCATATCAGGACTTTCTACCGCTTTGAGGCTGCCTGGGACAGCTCAATGCACAACTCTCTGCTCCTAAACCGAGTTACACCATACGGAGAGAAGATCTACATGACCCTTTCAGCCTACTTGGAGGTACGGCACAGAGCCTGCATTGATACGAGGCTGATGTAACACAGCCGTATCTGATGTGAAAAAAAAAAGACTGAAAAGCTCCCGTTTCTATCAACTGCAGATGGAGAACTGCACACAGCCCGCAGTCATCACCAAAGATATCTGCATGGTCTTTTACTCTCGGGACACAAAGCTTTCAGCCTCTCGTTCAATCCGTAATCTTTTTGGTACGGGAAGCCTAAGAGCGGCTGATGGGTGAGATTCAAACTATTAAACAACCATGGAGTTTTTTTGTATTTACCTCATTCAGATACAGCCGAGCAGTAAAGTAATTGTCTCTAAGAGCTCCTCTGTCTTTGTCTTGCTTTTCTAGAAACCGAGTAACTGGAGTTTATGAAGTTAGCTTATGCAATCTCGCAGACACTGGAAGTCCAGGTGAGGCTCAGAGAAAAACGAGCATGTTCCTGTCACAGTTCAGACAGTAATTACAAATTCCTCACATCAGGAATGCAGAGGAGACGCAGGCGAGTGCTGGACACCTCTGTGGCCTACGTCCGTGGAGAGGAGAACCTGGCAGGGTGGAGGCCACGTAGTGACAGCCTTATTTTGGAGCACCAGTGGGAGCTGGAGAAACTCAGCCTCCTCCAGGATGCAAGTCCAAATCTTACTCTTCATAATATAACCTTTCACCAAAAATAAGAAACTTTTTTTTAAAACTCAGATCACATTTTATTACATTAGAACCACACATTTTTATGTATTTTATTGAATTGTTTTTAATGGTAGACTGGCTCAAATTGTTATGTAATACAAGCAAAAAGCGATCAAAAGATTTCTTTCAGATGATAAAAAGTAATCTAAAAAGTTTGGCTTGCAAAAGTATTATATATGCCTTAATAGACTTAGTCACATAATTAGTAAATACAGACGAAGGTGTGATAAAATCAATATAAAGCAGCTTTTCCTTGTCTCAGAGGTTTGGCTTAGAGGTTTGGCGTCATAAAGAGCAGGGAGCAGAGTTTACATCAGGGTTAGTTAGTATAACAATATCCCAAGCTTTGAGCAAGTCATTGAGGAACATCCAACCCATCACAGTAAAACACAGAGAGAAGAGCCGCAAACCTGCTGATGCTGGACCAATGGCAACTAGAGCATAAATCAGAGAAACCGGAGTCATGAGAAGTCCTGTTTACAGTGGTGGAATGAGAGTATATGGTGAAAAACGAACACGTACCCTCTGAACTTCTGTCCTTAAGGCACGAGGGCGGCAGCAACATACTTTTGGAAAAGCCACACCTTCCTTTTTACCTTCAGGGTTCACCCTCCAGCTGGACAACAGTGGAATAGCGAAAAGACAACCATTTGTGTGAACGGACTAGTCAAAGTCAAATAGTGGCAATATTGACTAAATCATGTGTAAAGTCACCTTAAATTTTTTTTTTTGTATCCTTGCAAATTTCATATAGATCTTTTTTTATATATCTATAAAAGACGCTTTTAAAGGAGCTATAAAGTGTTAAAGTTGTAGGGAAGTCATATTTAAATGTCAAATCATTCTGGCTTAATCATGTATATAAATGTGCTCTTTATCAGACTATATTGTCCCATAAGTTAGAAATTTTCTATAAAAAAAAAAATCCTGTCTTTAAAAATAGTTTTTTTTTTTTGTTATCTCATGCAGGCCTGTTAGTTATACGTCGGCCTGTACACCTAAATTCGGCCAATCTTTTACCAACGGTCATCTGTCAATCAGATTGTTTCAGTCATAGCATCTTAATTCATATGTTGCAGCTAATATACGCAACGGTTGAAATAAGAAATAAGAATCATTTCCTTTCCTATTGAGTTGCGTCCCAGTGTTCACAGGGATGGACGTCTGTGTCTTCAGCAGGCGTAGAGCTAACAGAACTGGCAGCGTTGTGAGGCAAGGGCTCAAACATGTACGGCTGTAAGACTTCTACACCAAACCAAGCTTCTGCTGCCCTGGCGTCCTCTTCCACAACATCTTCGTCCCCGCTTTCTCCTCTAAATAAAAAATGTATGATTGAGGAGACTCATCCACGACCTCCAACAAAAAACTCTCCTCCTCTTGCATGTTTCTATTGTCAGTAGCGTTCCTTGACAGTGTCGTTTCTAAGTCACCAATTTGGTCCCATTGGGAACCTACTAGCACTAAATTGCTAACTGGTTAGCAAGATCCTTCCGACAAACGGGCCACAACCTAACTTGCTTGCAAACCTTACGCCACAACAACCCAGCCCCTTTGATAAACGACCAATCACATTCACTTTATTCACTCGTGTAAAGTCGTGCACCACTCGGGAGAATTTGGAACTGCAACGGTTGGAACAGCCGCTTCCCTATGACGTTAATAGAACCTCAGACTCTCTGGTGAAATCATAATTTTAAAGGCAGTTGAAATTTTTTTTTTTGCTTCTCTGACTTTCAGGTGGAGAAGACCAAACATTTCCTCCTGCTGAAGGAGAAACTCCAGTCCACCCTGGTTGCCGGTCAGCAGTCCCTTCAGTCCTGCCTCACAGAGGACCTCAGCGAGTCCTCTGAAGTCGCCGAGGCAGAGCGGGAGGCGGCCTGTGGCTCTGAGATAACCACCGAGAGGCAGAGGGAGCTGGCTGCCAGGGTCAGCTGCAGTTCTGTTCACTTTAAACTAGAAAGCCCCTTTTTGTTACCAACAAAAAGCTGTATTAACTTAGTGATTTTCATGTGTCTTTAAAGGATGTTTTCTTTACATTCTGTGTTTTGTTTGTCAGTGTTTGCGGCTGCTCACTCACTCCTTCAACCGAGAGTACAGCCACGTGTGCATCAGCGCCAGTGAAAGCAAGGTATCGATTGTTAAAATCCTGATCATTGATTGGTCCTAAACAGCCAATGAAAAGTGTCACTGTGTCTCCTTCCAGATCTCTGAGATGTCTGTCACGTTGCCCAGAGACGACTCCTCCTTATCTGCTCTGAACACCATCATACCCTCCTCGACGTGTCCCTCACTGGTTGAGGGTTGCTATAACAACACTGAGCTCAAGTTAGTCCTAACAGCATCCTGTGTCTAGTTTTCTGTATTTCAGGCTCTAAAACCTGCTTCCTTTGTTCCACAGACCCCCTGCCCCTCGTTCCCATGCTGTCAGCCCCAGCCCTGAGACGCAGCAGGAAGCAGCTGACAGAAAGGCCGTGAACGCCGGTTCAGACGTCAAACCTCGGACTCGAAGATCTGTCCCCGATATCCAGGAGATCAGAGTCAGGTCAGTGTCTGTTATTTAAGGTTTTTGCTGTGTAACGCGGCATTCATTAGGTAACGGTTTGTTGTGTTTTGTCAGCCCAATCGTATCGAAAAAGGGATACATACATTTCTTGGAGCCTCACACCAACGGATGGGTGAAGCGCTACGTCGTCGTGCGAAGGCCGTACGTTTACATCTACAACTCTGAGCGAGACACGGTGGAGAGGGCTATTCTGAACCTCTCCTCCGCCCAGGTGGAGTACAGTGAAGACCAGCAGGCAATGCTGAAGGTCAGGGAGAGAAAAAAACACCTACAGCCTCAAAAACACGTTCTCCACTGCTATGTTTAGAAGCTCTCTCTGTTTCTCTTTCTCCACAGACTCCAAATACTTTCGCTGTGTGCACAGAACATCGAGGAATATTACTACAAGCCACTAATGACAAAGAGATGCATGACTGGTTATATGCATTCAACCCTCTTCTTGCTGGAACTATCAGGCAAGTTGTTGCTGATTGAGGATTTTTACAAACATACTTTTAATAATTCTGTTTGAAAGTCCAACACAAGGTGGTGCAAAGCTGGAAACTGGACAGTTTTTAATTTATTTTTTTACAAAAAACAATCTGGAAATATTTGAGTTTACCTTGTAATTTGACATCTGTATTTGAATTTTCTACTAGAAATAAATAAATTTTTTAACATTTATTTGAACAAATAATTAAAAAAAAACATCAGAACCTAATTTTAATTAACATAATCATAGCAGCACCACAGCAAAAAAAAAAATCAGAAAAATACAAAGTAAGAATAAATGCATCAAGTGGCGGCTGGCCCATAGGGGGAGTTCAGGCACTGCACTCCCTAGATGTGGAGGGGGAAAGTCATAATATATATAGATTTTAAAAGTATATCAATGTCAGTTTTACTTAATAGTATGTGGCTACATGTAGTATAAATTAGTAAAACAACACTTCTACCAATTGACTCTCATTTAACTGTTAATTTCCACCAACAGAACGTATCATTTACCTTCAAAGCGCCCCTGAAGTGTAGTGAAATCACCAATTGTATAAAGCTGCTAGGGAAAATTAATAGATATTTGGCTAATCAGCATCGCCAACATTAATGGCTTTGGGGTTCCTGGAATGTTTGCCCCTGCTACAGTGATATAGGTGATGTAGCTAGTACTCTGTCAGGCAGTGAGGTGGAGATTATGCCGACGAGTCCTTTTTCAAATGTCAGGGTCTGACCCAGCATGGAAAAAGACGGGTAGGACTGATTTAAAGCACTTTTTAGAAAAGGCAAAGAAGAATGAACAATCTGGGATACAATGTTGAACCATGTAAAACAAAGATTTACCTTCACAAAGCCTTAGAAGGGCAAAATTTACGTACAAAAAGAAAACCTTTACATAAAAATATTTTTTGTTTTTATTAAGTGTTTTTATAATGTTTTTTTGTTGCTATACGTTTGACTGGTTTTTGGTAAACGTCTATTTTGAATTTATATTCTCCCTGGAGAAAACTCCACAAGCCGCCACTGCTCATTAGTTTTCATTTTCATCAATTATACTTTATTAATTCAAAATACACAAACCTGACAGTTATGTAGTTTAGTTAAATAAGCTTTATTAAATTAATGAATATGAATCATGTAAGGTTTATTTAATAATAAATCAGTGTATTGGAATTTGCTATACAATAAAATTAATAGTTCTTAAAATCAGTATCTGAAGCATGGTCCTTACCATCAGCTCATCTGGATTGTATATGTATAACCAGAAAACAACTCAGGTTGCCATTGATTAATGTAGTTACAGTACCAAAAGTTATATTTTCTATAATTAGATCATTAAATTATACTGAAATACACTGAGTGAAATAAATAACGTGTTTTCTGGGAGAATGGATCCATTACAATTTACAATTTTTTCCATTATATTGCTTATCTGACGTTGTCATCGGACATGCTCAGAGCAGTGCTGCAAAATTGTTTAGCAGTATTTTACTTGTGCTGTTCTTTAGATTCTATTCTTTAAGCTAAACAGGTACGATGAAATGCACTTATTCACAAATTCAAAACTGAAAAATGCACTTTTGGATTGGTTTGGGACGGATCAGATACAGACGAGTGATATAACAAAAAGAACGTTAAGGCATTTGTGCCTTATTATTACTGTTTTACAGGATTTAGTTTAGTACACTTATATATTAGTGATGGAAATTAGTCAAATCAGTTATTTTTCACAAAGCTCAATCAATGGCAATCTTGATGCATTTCTGGATGCCCATGTGCAAACAAGCTAGTGGTGCAAATATGATAGTGCTCAGCTTGCCGTGTTTGTCGCTGTAAGTGCCAGTGTGCCTCTGTCAATCAAAGATAACGCCACACACAGCCCCCATGCATTCTCTGCCATGTTACATCTCCAAATATTATGTGGGTTTATGTCAGGCTCTGCAGCGACGTTAGTTTCACTGTAACCCGTCTATAAACGGGTATCTTTCCCTGCTCAGGAAAAAAGCGCCCCACATCATTATACTGCCATCACCATGTTTTACCAAGGTGATAATCTGCTCTATCCAGTAGAAGCCCAACGTTATTTCTTAGTTATCATGACTAGCCTACTAATATTCTGCAGCTGTATTTTACTAAGATGACATCTATGGGGAACAAAATATAAACATTTTGCCTAAAAATGTCAGATTTCCGATTTTTAGCACACTTTCTTCACATTAAATTTTTTTTTCCACATTTAAAATATACATCTTTATCCAAAAAAGTTTTGATACTGTATATTAAAAAAATGAAATCTAATTCAAAATCCTATATCTACATATAGTTACCCTGGTGTCTATTTGGCTGCAATAAGAACCATTTGTTGTGTAAAAAACTCTAAAAGGCAAAAAAAAGTCTTTGTTTCGCTTCAGTTATGCACTACTCTGTGATGGTCTACTACATAAAATCACGAGTTGTATATAATATGGGGTATGTGAAAGACCTTTTTTTAAAGTGGACGAAAACAAAAGTATTAACCACTAGTTGTCTGGTCTTACCTCTCAGGTCGAAGCTGTCGAGAAGACGAGCCGGACAGATGAGGATTTGAAGGAAACAAAAAAAATGCAAAGACTGCGATGTACATATATCCCTGTTCTTATCATTCCCATCGTGCTGAGCCTCGTTTCTACCGTCACCGACAGCCACCTTTCCGCCGTGCATTCCTCACGCATCCTAAGCGTCCGTCAGGCTTTAGCCACGTGTGATTTTTTTTTCCAAAGTGAAGAAACAAAAAAAATATAAAACACATAAATCAGTCCCTGTAATGTACCGGCTTTAATTGGTACCACTGGAGAAAAACGAAGGGAACAGCAAAGGTCTCTCCGGCCTCAGGAGATTTGTATGATACTGTGCCGCATATTTTGTCATTGACGCATCAAGCATTAATAACTTAGAAAACAGACGTGTCAATAAACGAAGCCGCCGTTCAACTAGCCAGGATCATATCTCTACATTTGCATCATTAAATAGAAACAAAACATGTAGGTTCTTACATGCTTTATTCTTCTTTGCCTTGAAGTCAGAAAATACAAGCTTGAAAATGATAATAAAAGACAGCAGAGGGAATCTGACCTGCTTCCCTTGTTCCATTAAACTATTCCAAACTTAAGCACACGCAGCCTGGCATCTAAACAACACTATATCTCATTTACTCCAGTGTGCGGATCCATATCATTCCATCTACTTGTAGGATTGACATTTACATGAAAACTAAAATCAAACATCCCCTTATTAATCCAAGTATAATCCTTTATCTCTCTCTTTGTTTTTATTATTTTGTTTTTATTTTTATGTGATTATATTTAGATTTTTTAACAGCCTAATTATTTATTTCTGCATGTATTTATTTACAAAGACGTTTATATTTCTAAAGTAGTACTCAGTGCAATTTCTGCACATGGCACTTTTTAATGAGTTCATGAAATATTTGAATAATAAAATCTTGTCCCTAAGCTTTGCTCTTAAGGTAAATGAATACATTTTCTTTCCTCTCCTTTAATGTTTAGGTTAGCTTAACTTTCGACTTAACTTATATTCACTTTAAGATTTTGATCTTGTCATCCCGTGTAAAAAAAAAAAAATACACACAAAAAAAAAACGAGCTGTTCTCTGCAGCGCACAATGTGAACTGGCTTTCTGAATGATCTGTGTATATTAAGTGTAGTGCCTCTCTTTTCTAACACTCTGCACAGTTTTCCTCTGCACCGATTTCTTTGGAATTACACCCTTCATGCTGCTTGGATCATGTTCGGGGCAAAATATCGCTTTGCTTTTCTTTGTCACAATCAGATGCATTTGTGAGAGCAGGCTGAAATATATCTCAGGAGTGTCGGATAGCATAGGGCTCTTTTTCTCAATACTCTGTGGACATGCAAGGTGTTTTAAAATGTATGCAACATATAGCTTTAATTGTTTATTTCTGCTTTGCTGTGTTTAATGTTTTTATTTCCAGTTTAATTGTTAATAGTGATGAGGTGTGGATTAGCTTGCCTTGGGTCAGCCAGCCCAGTGAAAGCAACCACAAGTTGGATTTTAACAGATACCTTTTATTTTTCTTTGTGTGCTTTCTGTAGATGTGATCCATAAAATATCCGCTATGTTAAAAGTGAACCAGTTTTTGTTTTGTTTTTTTGTTTGGAGGGATCTCGTTTGTTATATTCAATCAAAAATGTCAGAGTTGGAGAAAGTTTCAGTCTCATTAGACCTTCTGCTCCGTACTTTACTATAAACGCATACCTCTGCAAACATTCCTAAAACACACCTTGATTCTTTTGTTTTTCCTTTCATCCATTACAGTTAAAGAAACCAAAGTTTAGTTGGTGCACTCACATAAAAGTTCACTCTGAATGTACAAGGATATAATAGAAATGCTTCTTCAGCTTGGATGTTTTTAATGAACCTTTCAGTTCCTCACTGATTGTAGGACGGTTATTAGCAGGGATGTAAATGGAGGCCCCGGGACCCACCTGTTAATAATCTGTCTGCTTGTGTGTGGGACGATCATGGTTCACTGTGGCCTAGTTAAACTTTACATCTTGTAAAAAGTAGTGCTCTGGGTTGCTTTTATTGTCACTTTCCTTCTGTCAGCATCAGCACCGTACTGCAGCAGCAGCCTTCACACTAAATCCACCTATTCTTCATTTTTATTTCTTAATCCTTGCCCTGTGATGTAATCTCACAGTTTTTGTGCTTCCATATCTATTTTTTGCACCTCTAAATTTGGTTGTTCTTCAAAGGTTTTTTTTGCATTGTATATAAACATTGTTGCTGTGAACGGTGTATTATACAGTTGCACCCATTAACAAACTCCCTAATGAGCAGTAGTTCAGTCGGTGTCTGAGTGTTTGAGGTTCCTGTCAGATGTTTGTGTACACTGAACACATTGTCATATATGAAATAAACATGAAAGTGATGCAACACAAAGGAATGACTTGGCTTTTATTTGTATAGTTATACATCTATTGTTATTTGATACATGAACGGGGATCTAAACCCAACAAGAATGTAGAAAATAAGCTGATAGCTGATCATTTTTATTTTTTAAGAAACCACTGCACTGAAGGAGAATATGGAAGCAAAAATAAAGCGAAAAACTGCTTTGGTAGAAGAACAACATTCATTCTGCCTCCAAGCAACTCAAGCCAACTTTATTTATATATGTATATATATTATATATATATATATATATATATATATATATATATATATATATATATATATATATATATATATATATATATATATATATATATATATAAAAACTCTAAATTACCAAATTGCTGTAAAACTGCCATTAAAACATTTGAAACTGCCATTAATGCTCCCAGTTGGAAACAACATATTTAGTATCATATTTAATTTTAGCCGCTAAAATTAGTTTAATTATTTTCTCAGAATATTTTTTTAGCCTGCATTTAAATTAAAGTACAACTACTAAGTAAGTGATCAGATAGAGTAATAGCGTATTCCAATATGTTTTACTGATATTGATATATTTCTAATAAATTGCATATGACCAAGATAGAAACATACATAGTCGTGGGAAGAAAAAAAACTATTGTTTTCTTCAATTTCTTCTCTTAAAGGTGCATTATCTTAAGAGTACAACAAACAACAATTAACATGGCTGATTTTTTTCATGACTGAGCTATATATTTCTTCTGCTGCCTCCTTTTTTTTATATTGTACTTGTTAAAATAGCAGCTCTCTTGTCAGAGCTTTTTTTTTTTTTGCATTGTAATACTAATTCATGATGAAAGGAGATTACTGAGGAGAATGTAACCAATTCATCCCTTGGACTGATTTAATGTTTTGCCTATTGAATTCACCTTAAAAATTAATTAGAATTTATCGTAAACTTTAAGCTTCAGCCATATTGAGAAACTATCATAGAATTCCTCTGTTTGATCAGAGGTCCTCAACCTTGGCTTTGGTGCTCACTTCATTTACTAAACAATGCGCATATGGGGCCATTAAACTGGTCCCCATAAGGTAAAGTTCTGTTCTTTGAGTTCAGGTTAGCTTAGTGTTAGGTAAATGTTGGTGATAGTTAGGGTTAGGTTAGGGGCTGGGTTAGGCCATATAAAATGAATGTAAATCCCTGAAATGTCCATATGTCCTGAAAACAAAGCGGTGTGTGTGTGTTGTGCATATTTCTTACATGATGGGGACCATTTTCCAAAAATCTTAGCACATTTAGTGCTCTAGAGGGGACCGATATCTGGTCCCTACGGGTACAAATGCTTTATTAGGCTTAAGAGTTAGGTTTACAACTAAGGTGTGAATTGAGTTTAGGTTAGGATTAGGGTTAGGTATGAACCTGTAATGACTCAGACAACTTTTATTGTAATTTTGTATACAGAGTGTATTGTGTATCCAAAACAAAATTTAGTTTTGTACAGCTTTCAGAACATTTCCATTCCATAAAGTGTAGCAGCGATAAATGTAAACAGTGTGGGAGAAAAAAAACATGGTGCAAAAACACATTGATATGGAAGTTTAGAGCATTAATATATGTGGTGAAAATATGCAGTATTTTGTTTGTCGTTATCAGTGTGATGAGTATTCTGACAGATAACAAACATGTTAGCATCAAGCTGTAGCCATGTCTGTTTTAGAGACTAAACTAGCTCTTGTTTTAATCACCTTCTGTTCTTCCAATAATGATCTATTATCATTATTGGAAGATAACCAATAATGCGGTTATCTTTTTGCGGACCCCTGGGGTACGCAAAAAGTCACCCAATTCCGTCATTTTCTACGAATGTGTTACTGGCCTTCCTAAACAACTCACACCTTTGTCAGTGAAGCTGAGTGCTCCCACATCTCTCCCTTCATGATGCCCATTTACATTAAGATCCAAAATTCTGAGATTTAAGTCAGAATTCAGAGAAAAAAGTCAGAATTCTGAGAAAAAAGTCAGAATTCTGAGATTAAAGTCAGACTTGATTAGGTCAGGATTCTGAGATAAAAGTCATAATTCTGAGATTAAAGTCAGAATTCTGAGATTAAAGTCAGGTTTCAGAGATTAAAATCAGAATTCCGAGATTAAAGTCAGAATTGTGAGAATAAAGTCAGACTTGATTAAAGTCCGAATACTGAGAAAAAAAGTCAGAATGCTGAGAAAAAAAGTTAGAATGCTGAGAAAAAAAGTCAGAATGCTGAGATTAAAGTCAGAATTATGAGATTAAAGTCGGAATTATGAGATTAAAGTCGGAATTCTGAGATTTAAGTCAGAATTCTGAGATTAAAGTCAGGATGCTGAGAAAAAAAAGTCAGAATCCTGAGAGATTAAAGTCAGAATTATGAGATTAAAGTCAGAATTCTGACTTTTTCCCCATATTAAACTGAGATAAAATTTTAAAATCAGTCAACTTTTCTTTTTTTTCAGTGTCCCTAATCCTCTTCCGTAAAACACCTATCCATAATTTGTGTTTTATTCCCTAATCTAATCCAGTCGATATCATTTCCTTCATCCACACGTCACAAAAATCAGGTGACGTGGTCAGAAATCTTCCTCTCTAAATTTCTTCGGACCTCCAAGTCAGCAGCGGAGCCCAGGTAAACGTTTGTCGGAGTTCTAAAATCAATAATCGATCATAAATAAAGGTTAGGACGTGTGGACAGCTAAACATGGCGGTCACATGACGTTTAGAGGGAACCAGCAGCTGTTACTACTGGATGACGGTGTAATACAGCTTTAAGATGCAGCAGCCTGACTAACCCAGCTAGCTAGCTAATGATTCATAAAGGCGACAGTAAAATCTATCCGGGACATCTTCGGCACATTTTACAAGGTCAGACACAAAGTCAAACCTCTCAGACTTCTGTCTCGGTTATTAATATCCACATTTTTCTCAGTTTAAAGGCCGGACTCTCAGCGGTTAACTCTGACTACATAAAGTTAGCTAAAACTAGCTAGCTAAAGTTGATCTCAGTCCGTTGTTTTTTTTCCACCGGTTGTTTATAAGCTCTAAGTTATCAAACATATTAGATACCAGGCTTGTCATGTTAAAAAAAAAGTTATATTAGAGCTTCTCTGTCGTGGAAGAGGTGTCAATATGGGAGCAGAAAGCAGCGGACTATCTGGATAAGAACTATTGGACGGACATGCTAACGATCCACCGCTGCTTTATGCTCACGCGCTGCTAGGATTAGCCTCAATTAAAACTAATAACGTTAATGTTAGCTCAAAGTTAGCTGTCCAGCTCTGTGCAGAAGCAGCTGCTGCTCTCTGTGGGTTCATGTATTTCTGTTTGGTTTGATCCCAGTTGCAGCATGGCCGAGAAAGCCCCTCATCTAACCCTGGTAGTGGGTCACACCCACCACGACCACAACCTGCATCACTTCACAGACCTGAATATAGAAAGGTGAGGAGGACTCAGACCTGCTGTTTGATGCTCTGTGCTTCAGTGTCTAATTAACCCCTTTAAAGCCTGAACCATGTAAGAATTGCCAGAACATTTGAGTTTTTCAATATTAGAATGTCTTGAACCTTCTGAAAAATGATGTATAGGTTAATTTAGATCATTTATTTGCATCACATTTGATACATTAGGCATTTCTGTTTAATGTTGTATATGTTATGTTCACTACATTTATTTAAAAGTTTAAATCAGTGTTTCAAGAACTAAAACATCACACTGATTATGCAGAAATCTCAAAAAATCATGTATCTAATATGATACACTTGGCTTTGAGGGGTTAAACATGGTGGTTGAAATGGAAGGAAAATTATTTGTGTTTTTTCCCCAAACTTTTTACAAATAAAAACCTGAACAACGAGCTTTAAACATGTACAGACTCAAATTCTTGATCTTTGTTTTTAATGAAATACCTTGAGCTGGATATCTAAATACAATTAAGGTCTGGGCTTTGACTAGGCCATTCTAAAGTCAATTATTGACTCAATTATTTCAATTATTCACATATATGTGAACCCTACCATAGCTGCTCTGGATCTACACTGGAAAAACAATCTAGAAATGAGTAAAAATTTCTTAAATTAAGTGTATTTACCTTTAATTTGAATAGGTAAATGAGATGATTTGCCAATGGAATTAATATTTTTACTGTTTAAATAAAATATTTAGATAAATTGCACTTGAAATAAGACAATGCAATTGTGCTTTCTTATTTTGAATGTAAATTGTCTTGTCCCATTGTAAAATGTCTCTTTTAGCTTCTCAATTCAATCCAAGAACAAATGCACTTATTTTAAGAAAAAAATGACTTATCTAGATTTTGATTTTTTTCCAGTGTAAGTCTAATGAGGTGAAAGGTATACTGGAGGAATAATTAAAGAATGCACATGCACAACTCTGTACCTGCTCCTGAGAGGGAACGCCTATTATTCGTGTGCAAGAGCATCCACATGCCTGTTTCTCCGTGTGCACGCTCTGTTTAAAAGTTGCTGTTTGCATCGCTCATACAAGCTTACTTTCTAAAAGAAGATTTGCAATTTTTCCACTATGTCTGAATGGAAATAAGCATGTAGGACGGCCTTACGTAAACATATTACCAGACTGATTGACAATTAGGTGGACCACTTATTTTGATGATCCACCCGGAAAAAGAACATTCTCAATTATACCTTTAACCCGAGTGACGTTGCCTCAAAAAATTTTGTTTGTGCCGTTATCCTTTTGATTAACTGATGAAAGTTTAAAGGTTGATGTAACTACCGGTAAGCAACATGGGTAAAAAAATATCAAAATTTTTAACTAATACCTAATCGGATTAATGAATTTTTTCCCCCTCTTCTTAATATATATGAAAAATAACAGAGATTACTTTTAAAACCTAGCTTTTATTTCAATCACACCCTTTTGAAGGTGACCTAGATTTAATGGGAGATGTAATTCAAGCTTTAAAAATGCATTTTAAACAATATTTCAAACCAAACAATGAAAATATAACAAACGTTTGTAGCTAGTGGTGGGTTACACATTCAGCTAGTTTATCAGTTATAAATACACATCTAAGTACAAAAAGCGATAAGCTGATGTCACTCGGAGTTATGGAAGCCCAAAGAAAAGATTGGTGAAAAAATAGAATCCAGGTTTTCCAAAAATTAAATCTGTTTAAACAGAAAATTCAATGAAATAATTTTATCGATTAATCATCCATCCCTAGTAGAAAGGTTTGAACTTTTTATTAACAGCTTTGGAAAAAAGTGAAGCACAAACGAAAATGTTTTGATTTGAAGAAGGTAAGGCTTCCAACGTCAGCTGAGAGCAGAAAGGATGAAACTCTGCCTCCGTCTGAGGTCTCATCTAGCTCTGCTATTTCTATTTCCCAGGTATCACTATCCAGTTTCTCTGTTCCTTATGTAGAAAAATATTCCAAATATGAGAGCAGGATAGGGTCACCCACTGTGTTAAGACTCTGGACAATGTGTTCTAGGAAGTAAAAAATTTTTATTTTCTTCTAGTAACAGCCTTTTACATGTTTTACATGAAATTATCTTCTTCCACTTTAATGCTCTGTTCCCTACTTGACTTATTTGCCATAAAACCCAGATTTTTAGGCTGTATGTCTAAAGCACTTCATCAAATTGTGTAATAGGTTATCGAAATATTTGGCAAAAAGTAAACTCGAACACATGCCATTTGCTGCAAGATCAGTAAATGAGTCCAAACTGTACCAGATATCTACATTTTGTATTAAAAAAATGAAAAAAAAATCTATTTTCTGTAAAGATGTTTCTTCCAGGACTCCTCTAGTGGTGTAGTTTTAGTGTCACCTGGTTCAAATTCAGCGAAAATAATTGATTAATTCGGACAGTTTTTTTATGTTTATTGGGTTTTTTTTGTTTTGTTTTTACAGCACTAGTGGCTCGTTTTGTAGACAGTAGGCTGACAGGAAAGGGGGTATGAGAGAAGGGGAGAGATTCGAACCTGGGTCGTGTGCGCTAACCACTGCGCCACCGAAGCACACCATTAAATGCTTATCACTAAATTTCTTTTTTTATTTTTCCTAAAAGAAATGTAAAGTTTTGCTTTATACTCTAATTTGTTTTTGTTTTAACATAAATTAGCCATAACTGCTGTTTGTAGGTATGTTTAAACACATTTTATTTTTGTTTACTTGATCTTCTATGTTTTAGCCAATAAAGTTTTGCCAAAACCTAATCCTAACATTGGTAATTTCATTAAATTCCAGCTGGGATCGACCTCTGGTCTGAATTTCCAGCATTAATTGTAAAAAAAAAAAAGGTGCCCTGCCGCTGCAGTGTGTTAAACTTTTCTCCCATTAAGCACCTTTAAGAAAACATTTTTTTTACAGCTTGTTTTTATTTGTAAAGTAATCATTAAAAGTAGGCTCATCAGCTTACCAGAAATCTGGTTTAATCTCCCACCTGAGCTGTGATGATCTATGCAGGTTCTCTATTTTATTTATTAGATATTTTATTTTGTTTATATTTAAACTAATTTTGAGGCCTCCACAGAGATACCTTCAATGTACACCATCAACTGATTAGCTGACTACGAATAGAAATTGGCTTCTCTGGACGTTTAAAAAAAAGAATTTATTTGGAAACACAGATTTTCATCACATCACATTCAGTGATTACAGCTTTATCCATTTAAGATCGTATCTGAGGGTATAAACAGGAAGTCCAAGTGAGTTTATCCATGTTGCCTTTCTGTTATTTTTTACAGAATATCACTAAATTAGTTGTAAACGATAACAAAAATGAACAGAATTGAAGAATAATGGGGATTGTACCACCTCGAGCAATGAAAACCACAAAGACATAAGAGGGCAAGACACAGATTTCACAAGAGAAATCAAATGAAGTCAGATCTAATTGGTTTTATATACTCAGTCTATTTCCAGATCTTATAAAATGTTTATTTTTCGACTTGGAGGGAAAAAGATATCCTTTCCATAACATAAATCTGGTTAAAAAAAAAATTCAATCCATTCATCGATAGTGGGTGAATCTGGTTTCAGCCGTTTCCTTGCGATGGCCTTCTTATCCTCTGGACTTTTAAACATGATATAAGCAAAAAGGCCCCATCTGTTGTGCTATAGGGAACCATAATGATGCAGAAGGAACTTTCGTGGGCCACACTTTTCAGATTCTTTTCCTTTATGTACATATTTTTTCTTCCTCTTCCCACAAATGCACAACCTATTTTGTTAACTGTATGAAACCTTATAAACGGTAAAACAACTCAATGGTTTAAAGCTATATAACATTTATTTATACCACGCAGGATCTACATGGATTATAATGCTACTACCCCGATGGAGCCAGAGGTGATTCAGGTTATAACTGAAGCTCTCCATGAAGCCTGGGGAAACCCTAGTAGCAACTATATAGCAGGTGTGAAATATATTTATTTTAAATCAAACCAAAGCTAAATAAAATGTTTTATGAAGCATTTTTACTACAGACACTTGGAAATGTTGTTTTCCAGGAGCCATGGCCAAAGCGATCATCAGCCGGTCCAGAGAGAATGTGGCTAGAATGGTTGGAGGCAAAGCGGAGGACATTATTTTCACCTCAGGTGGAACAGAGGTAAAAGCTGCTTTCCTGGCTAATGTTACAAGATGATCCAATTGGATGCAGATCCTGATTGTTGACCGGCTTTAGTTCAGAGCAATAGTTATCTGCAGTCAGTTCTGGTTCAGAGTGAATGAATCATCTCATAGGCCAACAACCTGGTGCTGCACACCGCCGTGGAGCACTTCAGGAAGAGCCGCAGCGCCGCAGAGCACGGCGAAGGACTGCAAAACGGCTGCTCCGGCCTGCCGCACATCATCACCTCCAACGTGGAGCATGACTCCATCAGACTCACGGCCAAGCACCTGCAGTCGGTTGGGAAGGCAGGTGGGTGATCTTCTTTCCACATTGATGGTTGCTTTGGTTTTGACTGTTGTCCTTTAACCACTGAGATAAACCTGCTTCCTGTTATTTCCACCCTAGATGTAACATGTGTGCCCGTTTCTAAGGTGAACGCTCGTGTAGATGTGGAGGATATTATCGCTGCCGTGCGTCCCAACACTTGTCTCATCTCTGTCATGATGGCCAACAATGAGACAGGAGTCATCATGGTAAAACAAAGAGGCTTGAAAGCCACTTAGCCTCACTGGAAAAAAAAATCAGAATCTAGATTTTTCTTAAAATAAGTGAATTTGTTCTTGGATTGAGAGATAAAAGAGACATTTTGCCAACGGAACAAGACAATTTACATTTCAAATAACAAAACACAACTGCATTATCTTATTTCAAGTGCATTTTATATAATTATCTTATTTTAAGAGCAAAAATGCTCATTCCATTGGCAAACTATCTCATTTACCTACTCAAATAAGGCTAAATACACTTAATTTAAGAATATTTTTTTTTTACTTATTTCTAGATCGTTTTTCCAGTGCTGACCGTTTTCCATCTGCTAATTGTTTTCCAGTTGTAAAAACAATTTAACTTTGGAATACAATAAAACCCATTCCTGTACGCTAACATTCCTTCTTTTCAGCCAATCCAAGAAATCTGCCAAAGAGTTAAATCCCTCAACAAGCAGCACGATCGACTCAGGATCCTGCTTCACACCGACGCTGCCCAGGCGCTGGGCAAAATCCCTGTGGATGTCCAGGAACTGGGCGTGGATTTCCTCACCATAGTTGGACACAAGGTCAGAAATTTGCTTTTCCAACTTCTTAAAGGAGACCTCAACAACTGCCCTCACGTCTATATAAGATCTGTCATTCTATCATCTAACTGTTTCAGTTCTACGCTCCTCGGGCCGGCGCTTTGTACGTAAACGGCTCTGGAACAAAGACGCCGCTGTATCCGATGATATTTGGAGGAGGACAGGAGAGGAATTTCAGACCGGGGTATGATGCCGAGCAAAGCCGTCTCTACAGTAGAGACGATTTGTTATCAACCAAAAAATTCAGATTTCTTCAGATCTAACAAAATGTTTTTATCTTTTTTCCTCAATGAAACAGAACAGAGAACACACCAATGATAGCTGGTCTGGGAAAAGTATGTTCCTTGTAGCAGATTACTGAGTGAACCAACTGCGCCTCTGAAGCAGTGTTTGTAACAGGATCTCTCTGTCTGTGACAGGCTGCAGAGCTGGTGACCGCTAATCTTTCCCGCTATCAGAGTCACATGCTAAATATAAGAGTGTATCTGGAAGAACGACTGCAAGTGAGTTTGTTTCCCCTCCTGCAGACGGTTTAGTATAAGGCTTGTTTCCTTTGACTTGGACTTTTCTGGGGATGATATGAACCCTGAGTTCCTTCCTGTTTCATCTCCTGGGATTTAAAGTTCCCAGATGATGCACAAAAATGTTGAGCAAGGCTTATTTGGGGATTTTGAAGAATTCTTATTAAAAAACAAAACAATAAGGACCTTAATTTCTCTTGAATCAGAGAAATAATAGAAACAGGAGGGAATGTATGTTAGACAGTGATAACATAATCTGATTAATTTAGGGGTTGAAGCTTCGACCTGCTGATACTGAGTCTTTTTTAAAAGATCGGTGTCTGAGATTAATGCTCTGTAGCAGGAGTCTGCAACCCAAACTGTTCAAAGAGCCATATAAGACCAAAAAAACAAATCTTTTTGGAGCCGCATAAATGTAAAAGTCTTTTATAAGCCTCGTATGGTAAGATGGGCTCTAAGTGTATTAGCCCAATATAAAAAAGGACTAGGTGGGCTTAAATATATAATAAGCATTCATGATTAAAGGTGTATTCTGCAGCAAATGTCACATAGCAATCCACTTCTTAAATTTATCTTTGCTCTCCTTTAATTTATGCAGAAGTTCTGCAATCGCACTCTCCAGCAAGGTTAATTCATCCATCGCTACCATTGCAAACAAATCTGTGGTACGACTCAACCCACTGATAACGAGAATAATAAATGTGATGAGGAGGAAACATTAAATATGTGTAGACTTGGATTTTGAATGTAAGCAGTTTTTTTTTAACTTAATTTTTTGTGTGCATACGTCACACTGCAGTTTCAGATCTGATGAATTTGATCAATAATTAAAGTTTGATATGCAGTGAAATTAAATTTCAGAAACAAATATGGCTTTGGTTCTCCTCAGTCACCATCTGTTTCGCCAATTTCCCCCCCTGTCTTCGAAATGTACGTATCCGTACGGTTATGTCAGGGTTGGCAGCTGGGATTGCACATTGCTTGAAAAGTGGTATACACAAGTTTAAAGTGTCATTTTGTGATTATGCTAGCGTGACCCTTACCTTTGGTTCACTGATGTGGGATTTATTCTAGAGGGCTGAATGTAGGCTTGAATTTACCAGGAGCTCCATGACTTTTTAATCTGCTGGTCCAGATTAGTCTGCTAGCAGATTCCAAAACACAGAGGAAGACTGTTTAACATTGTGACAGTGTTGTGCTGTCAGTTGCTCTCAGTGGAGCTGAACCTGGAAGTTACAGGTCTAGTGCCCCTAGTGGTAAAAATGTACACAGTGTTGCTTTAATGATTCAAAAAAGTGTTGTAGTCCTGTGCAACATAATTGTAGTTATATAGGAAAAGCAGAGTATTGAAGAGAACAGTTAAGATTTTGGAGTGATATTCTGCCCTTAAGACCTTTCTAGAAACAGTAAAGGCTGATTTATACTCAGAAACCAGGGCATCTGCATGTGTGTCGCAGTTAACGCAAATGTGCCCCCGCCCCTTCCATAGACACTCTGCTGCACCTCTCCAAAATTGTAAGTGATTGCAGACAGGAGGCCTCTGATTGGTCAAATCAACAGCCGCTCTACACAATGCGTAACGTTTGGTAGCTTACCGGCTTGTTTTGTTTGTATGACAACCATTGTGGAAAACGACTCGTAATGATGGTAGAAGAGTGAGGTGCGTTTGAAAGCTGGAACCCTTTTTCCACCTGGATCCCCGCTCTTTTTCACCCTTAAAACTTGCCCCCACTTCCTCACCGCCTCGGGCGTATCTAGACCCACAGCTAGTTCCTGATTGTCCCTCTTGCGTTGTGGCGTGGAATAACATAGCGCAGACCACGCTTCAATATCGGGCAGAAATCAAAAATATTTGCGACAAGCTCACTGCGACACACTGCTGTGGTAGTATAACCAGTCCCTAACCCTGATGTTTCATCATCCGCTGCAGGCCTGGATGGTTTTTCATTCCTGACTTCAGGCATTTTTCCTCTTAGAATTTTGAAATTTGGGTTCAGTTTGTCTCCACTGAAGTAAAAGTCAAAGTAAATATAAACAGATTTGACCATTTTTCTCAGTAGTAAGAATGAAGTGAAAACACTAAAGCTTGTTGTGTCACAAACTTCAACCCAATCTGTTTCCGTCTCAGGCTGTCTTCAGAGACAGGATCCGCTTCAACAGTCATTATCCGGGCTCTGATATCCTCCCTAACACGTGTAACGTGTCCATCCTGGGCCCAGCGTTACAAGGTGATGTCACTCCTCCTCTGTCCCTATGTCTGTTGTGGTGTGAAAGTCCAAACACTGCCCTCTAACCCTACGCTGATGATCATCAGAGCCGGTTCACGACCCGCTCTGAGCTATTTGTAAACCAGCCAGCCTCTGAATGATTAATGTCTCCCCTGTTTTAGGCTGGAGGGTGTTAGCGAACTGCAGGAGGCTGCTGGCCAGCGTGGGAGCCGCCTGCCACTCCTCCAGCGGACACAGGTACAACAACCCCTGCTTTTTACCCACCTTTATTTTTTGTTTTTCCTTTTTTTTTTGGTATCTCCCCTCATTAACGCACATATTGTACGATGCACACGTCTGCCAGGCCTTCCCATATCCTTCTGAGCTGCGGCGTCCCCACGGAGGTGGCGGCTAATGCCTTGAGGCTGAGCGTCGGCAGAGGGACGACCAAAGAAGACGTGGACTTGGTCGTGGAGGACCTCAGGGAGACGGTGCAGCTCTTAGAAAAAATGAACTGAGCCCTTTTTTTTCTCTTTCTTTTGCACTAGAAGAGTTCGTCTTTGGGACAGGTTAGGATGTGCAATAACACACGACACGCATCACCTTTGCTGTTACACTGATCCTGAAAGATTATGAGATATTTATATAAATAATAAAGCGGGAGAACTTGGCTCAAGTTCATGGGTGATGTTATGGAAAGATGAATCCGCTTCCACTGTGCCATATGAGCTGCTGATTAGCTGAATGGACTCCACATGTAAATGTTGTCTCCCTTAAAGCCACAGACTTTGCAGTATTTCATATTCCAGTTGTATCATCTGTTAATTAGCCCAGCTCTGTAATGAATTTGTAAAATAACCCTTAAAAAACTCCTTTCAACCCACCGATCCCTGGCTTCTCCTCACTTCTCCCGTTACTCAAGTTTCCCCCCATCTCCACTGAAGCATATGGTCGCCGCCACACAAAGGCTGGAGCAGAAGGCCACAAGCGCCGCGCCTCCACCCGTCTTTCATTACTCCTCTATCTCGCTGGCTCGGACCCCCCCTCCCCATCTCTAGCTCAGCCCTGCTGTCCAGCTGGCTGCTGTCAGGGTGTCACTTTCCTGGCTCGGGAGGCGGTGAGGACGGCATGAAAAGGCTTTTTTGATTGTGATGGCAACTCACTGGGATTCATGGTGCTTCAGGGAAGTTTCCGTAATCCGCTCTTAGAAGCTGAGGATGGTGCTTCATCGTGCCATCCAGGCAGCTCGGGATGCAGACCTGGCAGCTCTGAAGAATCTAGCATCCTCCGGCCAACTCTCTGCTGCTATCAGCGATGCCCAGGGTGCAGGGCCTGTGCACCACGCAGCCCGGTGTGGGCGCCTGGACTGCCTGCAGTTCCTGGTGCGTGACCTCGGGCTGCCGGCAGACTCTCGAGCTTTAAACGGAGCCACGGCAGCACATGATGCAGCAGCTACTGGTAACATCCGGGAGCTGAAGTGGCTCGTGGACCAAGGAGGCTGCAGCATCCAGGTTTGTTTATTCACAGAGTCAAAAGGCCTAAAAACATATTTTGAGCTAAGATGTGATCTGTTTGTTTCAATAAAGAGTTCTATGAATAAAGCGGGACTACAGAAAACCTGCTTACCCCTAAAAGCCCAGGGGTTTGACTTAGACAAACTTTTTTGTCATTTTAAATACAAACAGTGTATACAAACAAAATTTTGTTTATACAGCTTTATGAACAGGGAATGAGCAGCAACTTAACAGCCAGTTTGTTAACATGTTTACTATCATATTCTATCACTAAATGAACGATTACTAATATCTACAGCTACATGTTTAATTTCAAAATCTTAACAGATCCTCCTTTTATTCTCCGATATCGATTCAGCCTGACAGAACATTTTTATGTCAGATTTTACAACACTGCAGTATTTTATGTGTAAATATAAACAGACCTGCAAAGGCAGCATTCCTGAAGAGTGTGGCGTTAGTTTGCGTTCAGCCCAACTCCGATCTCAATAAATAAACCCAGTATGTGCCATTGTCATTTATCCTTAGGTCAAGTCCTTGGGTGTAATTTGATCACAGAAAAATGAGTCCCTGTCAATCCATCATATGATCAAAAGAGCATGATCTCCAAGACCTCTATTAGTGATACCATCTTATAGGAGGGATAATAAAAATGAAAGCCAAAAAAAAGAAGAATTATGTTTGCAGTTTGTCAATGTAGGAGAGCAAGAAATCTGTGAAAGAAAAGTGTCCAGGTTGGATGACTAATGTGGCAAAACTACCTAAAAACGCTGTCTCCATTGTAAAGCACGGTGGTGGTCGCATCATGGTGTGGGAAAAAGAAAAGCTGCTCTTGATAGAAAGACAGACGGAGACCGATGTGGGAGAAATCATGACAGCGAGCACAAATGTAGAGCTGGTTATCATCACAACAATTAGGAATATTATTAAAAAGTCGACTAATTTGGTAAATTCCTTAAGAAAAATGCGTTAATTTCCCAACAGGCTGAAGTTTTTTAAAAGATATTATTCCTGTTAATTATGATGATGTGTTTGCTAACCGCTAAAGGAAACAGGACATTTATAATCAGATTATTTTATCTACCTATTTATAACTTCTTTAATAGAGAACTGGGGGTTTAATTGAAACGATGCTTTAACACAGGCTTATAGCTAATTTATAAAAGGTGCTTCTAATATTACAAATGAGTCTCTTTGGAAGATATTCCAATTGATTGATTAAGATTGTATTTAGTAAAGCTGGTTGAAATAGACCCTAAATCAACTGGTGCAGAGTATGAACCACTCACATGTGTCCCTTTACCTTCCAATTAGCAGGATTTTAGTCGTTCACATGCAAATCCAACAGGATATGTTGAAGTTTGTGATTAAAGCTCCTAAAAACGTGTAAATTTTTTTCAAACATCACACTGTTACTTTTATATTAGTATTTGTATCCATACTGTTACCAAGAGTCTAAAGAGCATTTTCTTTGCTGCAGGTTGTAATCAGTGCTGTTCATGTGCTTTTTTATGATGTATTACTAGCTGATTATGCAATATGTGTGGAGTTCTAGTGGATCCACTTTCAGCAGTAGCAAGTAGAAATGATTTCCAGATGTTGGGTGCAAAGCCATCTCCTAAATGTACTTTAATGACTGCACAGTTAAGGCTTTGTTTGTTTCTCTAATTTTTTGTTCCCTCCACCAACTGGACTTCATGACTGAAATAAATAGCCCATTATGAGGTTATTAATGGGCAAAGCATTTTGTGTGGAAGTTTTGGAAAGATCCATCATCCTTTATTATAACGTTTAGCTGATATTAGGGTGTAGTTAGCGATGTTTTCCCTGTGAATACTTTCTAGGATCAGGATGCAGCAGGAGCCACGGCTCTTCACCTAGCAGCTCGCTTCGACTGTGTGGAGGTGACCCAGTGGCTGCTGTCTGTCGGAGGGGAGGCCAATGTGGCGACCAACTGTGGAGCGGTACCGGCCCACTATGCTGCAGCCAACGGGGGGCTCACCTGCTTAAAACTTCTCCTCCAGGAGGCCCCTAGGTGAGCTGATAGTCGGGCTTTTAGGGGCGCTAAAGGATTCCCAGAGATTCAGGATTCCTCTACAAGCTTCAGGAGTCCATAAAGGTTTGGGGGCAGAGGCGGAGCTCAGACGTTTTCAATTGGGTGGCCATGCAGGGACTAAAGAGGGGTGGCAGAAAACTCGGTCGGTCTACAGGAAAATATTCTCCAAATAAATAACTTAAAACAGACTAGATTTTCTTAAAGGTCTTGCCAACAAATCTACACACACATTCACATCTATACGGTCTAAATGAATCATATATGGTTCTGCATAATAAATGTGTGGAGCGGTTGTGCTTTAAAAGACTCATAGATGACCTGCAAAGGTACTGAGAAAAGCATGGATTCTGTTTTTCTCATCTTTAATGGTAAAACATTGATGTGAATAAATTTTTACTGCATTTCTAACAACAATCAAAATGTTGAATTAGGACTTTTAATTTGAGAGCATCACTGCTGCCACCCTCTGGTTTAGAGGGGAACTGCTGGTTCTGGAGGAGGTGATTTTCATCCACATTAGCTGAAGCAGTTTATCGTGATTAATTAATGATTGTCAACTATTTGGTAATTCAGGCGAATCATGAGCTCTGGTGCAAAGACTTTAAACATGACACTTGCTAAAAGAATAAGCATCTTACCGTGGCAAGACAACAATTATAAAATGTGCAATAAAAGCTTTTTTAATATTCCATTTTACTGAAATGATTTTCTTTTAAATCGATCCATTAATTGATAGATGAATGGATATCTAAAAGAATTTATAACTGCCTTTTGTCCACGTGGGAGAAACAATTTTACCCGATAAATGAGAATAAAACACTGGAAGAAGAAGTATATTTCCTTATTTCGGTGGCCAAAAGATTAAAAAAGAAATCTAAATTTATAAGCATTAAATCTGTTCACAGTCAGAGATCTAAATCAAAAAGTCTGTTTCTTTGCTACTTTTGACCTCATGTCCCTCTTAGATCAGGCGTGGTTCTGAAACTCCCGTCTCCAACACCGTCACAGTGGAAACGAGTCCTGGAACAAATAAATGATTTTGCATAAAGTAAAGTTTATAAAAGTCAATCTTATTTTGATTTTCCTTCAGGTGTGGGTTGGATTTATAAATGTTAACTTTTATACAACCAACACGTCATTTCAGCCCACAGCTTTTTTTTTAAATCATATTTAACTCCCTAATTGTTATTATTCTTGTATTCTGAAATGGTGTTTGAGGAAATAAAGCCTCATACATTTAGGGAATCGTACCAGCTTTAGCTAAATATCCTATTTATTGAGCCTGATTTATTCCTCCGGTGATCACTTTAAGCACTCTGTTTTTCCATTGCTTTTTTTGGAGCATTGCTGCTGCTGTTTCAGAAGGAAGGAAGAGCAGTGTAGCCCTGTAACTGTGGTTCAGTTTCACTTCACCTCCCGCTGACCCCAGCAGGTGATGGATAGCCTGTTGTCAGGTGAAACTAATGAAGTGAAAGGAGCGCTGCACGTTTCAGGCTGCAGAACGGTGACAGGCTGCTGTGAGTTGGTGTGTCGGAGGTCAACTTTCCCTTTTCTTTTTTTACAATTAAGCCAAAAACTCTTACATCAGCTTCATCCTGCAAATCCTCCTGTGAACAGAGTTAAGTTCAGTCGGCATCACAAACTTGATGCTTTATTTTCCTTTCCTTGTGCCAAATATCCTTTTGGTTTTATTGATGAATAATTTAGCACTTCCAGCCTCGTTTGGTGACACCTGAACAAAGAGGAGTCAAAAAGCTTTCAGATGAATTTATCCCTTGTTGCTGTAGTTCCACCTCACACCTAAAAATTTAGAAAATATATTCCTATTATCCGAGTTGCGGAAAACTAATTGTTAAAGTGAGATTTCTTTCTAGAAAATCAGCTGTGATACAATAATTAGTACCTCTGCTATGAAACCCCCCAATTTCCCCTTTAACATTTAGTAGAATTAGAACATTTCCTTTATTGAAGCAATTCTCTTTGTATAATCCCTCTAAAACATCTAGACCAGGGGTCTGCAACCTGCGGCTCCAGAGCCACATATGGCTCTTTGGACCCTCTCCAGCGTCTCTTAATAGCGGCTAAAATGTATATAAAGAGCTAATTCATTTACTATAATATATACCGGTATCAATAGCTTTAGCTTTTTTTTATAAGATGGAAAAGAAATGAGATTAAAAGAACCAGAAATATGTTTTAAGAGACATTTTTCTATGAATTAGCTTGAAAATGATACGTTTTAACATTAAAAATATATGAATTGATTGTTTGAGATGGCAACAACTAATTTCCTATACAAGATAAAAAAAAAAAAAAAAGGTTTTCTAGAAAAAGTCATGGTATATTTTGCGCCTCTAAACAACTTTTATTCGGTAGTACGGTACTCTGGGCAAAACGGCTCTTTGGATATGAAAGGTTGCAGATCCCTGATCTAGACTTCTGACTCCTCTCTGTTGTTACACTCAGCCTATTGGTTTTCAGTAGAGATTACGTTTTTGGACTCAGGTGGCGCTGACGAGAGATTGATTTTTGTCTTTTGAGCACTTAATAATTTGTTCAAATCATCCAAACTTGGAGAGTAGACTGCACGTATTTTATTAAAACCAATATCCAGTTGTTTTCATGTTGACCTTTTTTAAATCTATACATATATTCAGTAGCTCCCTCCAGTTGTGTAAACAGTTCTTCTTAGGAATGACAGCGTCCTGCTGGCGTGTTGTTAATTATTTTTGTGTTTTATACTTTGTTTTAGCTCAATTTTTCAGCACCAAGGAACCGGAGGTATGATACTGCATTTGTGCGCAGGGAGATAACAAGAAAGTAAAGTGGCTAAGCCAGTTAGCACCTCAGTGAAGATGTGAAAAGATCCAGTTTTAGTATTACAAACTTAGTGATACTAATGCCAGTGACAGCTAGCGTGGATTCAGAAGACTAAATTAGACTCATTTCACAGATAAGTATAATTTTAATTAGTTTAATTTGCTATTGAAAAGGTTTTAACCTGTAACTTTTTTTCTCATTTGAATTAAATATTTCCTACCATGAAATTCTCCCTGTTTGAGTTTGTCAGGAAGAGGACTTTTCTTTTTCCTCTGATGTTATGTTTGGGTTCTTAGGAGGACTAACTGGAGTTGCTGTAAATCGGATTTATTTGATTCTGGCTGGCTGGTCTTTGACCGAGCTATTGCTTCCCCATGAGGCAATGCAGGACGTTTGGGTTCTAATATGTAGCATAGGCAAACCTTTCACCATCTGGCATTCAGGTACTTATGTGGTACTATCATGTCTGCTTATTTTAGCTCACTGCTCCCAGTCTTGACTTTGCACCTTTAAGCCTTCCTACATTGATCTATAAGCATGAAATATCCCTTTTGCACAATACAGAATTAAATTATTATAAAGAATCAGTTATTTTCTAGTGCGATTCTACCAACCTAAAGAAAGATCACTTGCCTTCTCTGCGACACCACCCATCCCAGTTTGGTTTCTGTCCATTCTGACATCGCCCTAGAGACTAAAAAATAAATTTTTACAAGTTAAACATTAGCTAAAAGAGTAAAGTTCTACTTTATCTTAACTTTGAGCAGAAATGATCACACTCTGCCTCACATCACAGCTCACTGATCAGACAAGGTTGGCATGTTGTGTTAGATTTACTGGTATTCACAGCTCCATGTAGACCTATCATGCCCATGGGTTTTTTTAGGACAGGGAGGGGCTACTGATTAGAAAACAGCATTTATTAGGATAACTCAGACATGCATAAATCAAGCATAATACCACTTTGGACATGATTTTTATGATGGATAGGCATTATAACATAGTTGTGAGACAAAATAAAGTAGATTTTGCATCATGTGGGCCCTTTAATGTCATAATGTTTCCAGGAGTTCTGATTCACTTGATCCAGATAGCCAAAGACTTTAGAAGGGACTAAGGCCCACAGTATGCTACATCCTCCACCATACGTAACAGTTAGCATTAATGGGCTGCTTCTCCTAATAGAGCTTTAAAACACATTGTGATGCTCTGATGCAATTAAGATTTGCAGGTCGTTAACCTTTCGTCACTTTCCTGCTCATTGTGTCTGTTGGCAACCTAAATATGGGAGATGAGCACAGTGACAGATTCCTACCCCAGAAAAGCAGGATTTAAAGTTCCATGACAAAGTTATGCTATATTTAGGAGCACAAACTGTTGATGTATCGGTGATTTTCTAAAGTAAATGTTGCTTTTTCTTTTTTAGCACTGAAATAAAGGAGATATCTAAAAGTTTAGTTCCTCCAAGCCAGAAAGTGGTGAACTCTGTCCCGTGTTCCATAATGTATGGTTGTCAGGTCTGCTAATGCTAATCTTTGGTCAGCATTTGAAAACTTAAATGAGCTGCTCAGAAGAAAAGCTGCAAACTCCATGTGGCTCCTGAGTCCCTTTGCTTCAGTTGGTCGACACCAAGGCCCTGTTTCACCCTAGTTTTGACTATTTTCTTCTTTTTTTTTTGTTGCTTTTTTGGCTTGAAAAATAGAACGCTGAGAAAAAGGCACTTTTCAGCTCTACCCCAGAGCTACTAGGATCTGGCAACACCTCCGTCTAATGTGGCTTCAACCTGCTATTCCTATTGGTGCTGAATCCTTTCACATCCACCATAGCATCCTAACCAGAAGTTAATATTTATACATGTTGAACCCGTCAAAATGTATAACATAATTATACACTATATTTTTCCGAATACAATTTATATTTTTATTCTGCATTTTTACTCTGTTTTTTTTTTATTAACTGTGACCTTTGATTGGATATTAATACATGTTTCGTTATGTGATTCTGCTACTTTTATAAAAGAAGACTTTGTTTTAAGTCCTTTAAAGCTTCAATGTGTAATTTTCAGTGACATCAAACGGTCAGATGGGAGCGACATGAACCACCCCACCCCCTCTAACGGTATGGAGTCCGTCATTGTAGAAAATCGCTTCTGCGACATCACTTTACCTACATTAAATCGCAGCATCAATTGTTTTTAATTTAGCCCCAGAAAGACTGTTTCGTATCCTACCTCCAGCACAGACATGGACCAGCTGGTACCTTCTCTCATTCCACTCCGCCACTCACTGAAGCCACAGGCTCCTCTGATCCTCACTGCACCCAATGCTGAAATTCTATTCAGGCTTAAAAAAGACAATTAGAACATTATCCGTGGACTCTTGGTGTGTATTACCTTATTTTATCAAGATTTAGTGTTTTGTTTTTTTTTGCACAGGCCTATAACTCCACCGCTCACTCCAGCTGCAGGCTGTAACTCCCAGTACAGTACTACACACTGTGCTTTTAATCAATCTAAATTAGGGTTATATGCTGGTGAAGATTCTCATTCATCCAGGTCGTAGTCATTCCAAAAAGGTTAAAAAACAATCTTCTGGATTTTGTTTCCATGTTTGAAGACGTTCCGCTTCCTGGATAGGAATTCTGCAACAGGATTCTGAACTCAGAATTAGCATTGAGTTTGAAGATTTATATAGTTCCCCAAAATCTTGTTTTAGCTTAGAAAACATGCAAATTGAACCAGAAAAAGGGGTCCATCCCCAGGGAATAGGGAGTCATTTGGGTTCTTTGTTAGCCTGCAATGCCCGATACTGGTCTATGCCTCTGAAAGGGGGGTTGTTAGGGGCAGTTGTTGGTCTGGCTGACCAGGCGAGATGGTTTTGTCGCCTGTATAGGGGTTGGGGTTGAGATTATAGAGGGAAGGAATTAACTCTATCGCTGAATTGTAGGTTTTTGAGAGCTGAAACCTGAGTCCACCCCCTCTGTTTAAGGTTGGTTTTTCTTTCTTAGCTTCCTTCACACCCCTTTCAAACCATCTGTCTTCTTTGTCCAACATGTGAACATTCTGGTTCTGAAAAGAATGTAATTTATCCATAAGTTGTAGATGTACAGCCGGGTCTTGTCCGGAGGAGGTAAATCAGGGTTACTAATAAAGTCGTCTGTGCTGTTTTACAGCAATGTTACAATCAGCTGGTTGCCTGTGAGATTATTAAAAGGCCTTTAAAGATCAGCAGAGTTCACCGTAGCAGACCGATGGTCGATCTCTAAAGAACAGTAATCAGGATATACTAAAGAGAGATCCATGGATTTAGAGTGTGTACGCTCTTCCACGTGCCAAATGTGCTCATTAAGCTGTCCTGAAAAGTATCAACATTCTTATCAGTTCCTGTTGCTGCAGTAAACATTTTGTTTTTATTCAGATTATCATCTGCATCTCTTGTCTCCTTGCTTGCCTGTTCAGGTGTTTGAACCAGCAGACGGGTTTGGGAGCCACCCCCCTGTACCTGGCTTGCCAGGAGGGGCACCTGCCCGTTGTCCAGTATCTCGTAAAAGACTGTGAGGCGGACGTTCACCTGAGAGCCCACGACGGCATGTCCTGCCTTCATGCTGCTGCTCACATGGGGCATCAGGCTGTGGTGGGTTGGCTGGTCAGTACCATGAATTTATCTGACCTATTTTTCTGAAGGGGCTCGTCCTGGTAGCTGCTGTCTAAACTGATGTGTTTCCTGAACCCTAGGTGACCTGCACCGACGTGGATTTGTCCTGCCAAGACAGAGAAGGAGCAACAGCTATGCATTTTGCTGCCAGCAGGGGGCATTATTGCATCTTGGAGCTGCTGCTTTACATGGGTTCTAAAGTCATCAAAGATTTCTGGGGAGGGACTCCTCTTCATGATGCTGCAGAGAATGGAGAGCTGGAGGTTAGATTAAAGTATTCATTTATTCATTAATTTAGCATCAAGTTTATTTCCTATATAAATTAAATACAGTTTCAGATATATTGTTATTATTACCTTATTTTCCCAATTGATTTCTCAGTGCTGTAAAATCCTGTTGGCCAATGGAGCAAACCCTACAGATGATGATATTGATGGATTCACAGCAGCAGACTTGGCAGAGTACAACGGGCACTCTGAATGTGCCAGATATCTTCGTGCCATAGAGAAAAACGTATGTTTGCTTTCTCATTCGTATCTTTATGCTTTACACTCCTTTCCTTTATCCTGTCATTTATATCACTTAAAGGTCGCCGGTAGGAACTATGAAAATTAGCTAAGCTATGTTATCTTATCTTATCTTTGTAAGAAAAGAACAGTCACCTTGACTGACAAGCCACTGAAATGCCTTCTCCCTTTTGCAACAACCTTTTTGAGTGAGTCTGGCTTTTCAATGTTAAAAGTTGTCTAAACATGCAGAACATGTCTACAGGTGGACAATGACATCCATATTACTCTGACTTTAAGCCCCGCCCTCTCAGTACTTATGTATATATATAGAATTCTAGTTTACATTCTTATTCATGCAACCTTTTGTGAACTCGTTGGTTTGATGCAAGTCAGTGTTTTAGTGCTAGGAGGGATTTAAAGACTGTGAAAGGGACATTTATCTGACTCAGAGAGTGCTATCTGACACATGGGGCATCGGTCCTGACAGAAATACTTTGCTGATGTCAGAGGTCACAGCAGACAGGTGATAGATGCTAATATAAGATTAAATAAGTTGGAACGTAGCGTCTCAGAGGACAAGTGCAGTCCTGAAGCAGGTGAGTAAAAATAAAGGAGGATAAAGGATTAAAAGACATTGCCTTGTACAATGAGTCCTGATATCAGCGGTGTCGAAGTAATGGCTGACCAGTCTGATCCCTTTTGACCACAGAGGACCCATCCCTTGAAGGTTTCCTCAACAAGAGTCATGCATCCCAAAAAAAATGGCGGCAAATTCACTACTCCGGTGACTACTCCGGTGGCTCCCAGAGTCGTCAGATCTCAAAACAGCAGATTTTTGATGTATCTGAACTGGAGATTCCCCTGGCCAACATTAAGCCGACATATTTGCAGGAGCTGCACGATGCTTTTATGTCCAAGGATCAGAATCTGTTCAGCATCAGAGCAGACTTTAAAGTGTCAGTTTAGTGGATGGTTTGGTTCTGATTAAAACCAGTTTGAAGACTTCAAATTAGATATCACAGAGATTATTATTATTACGTCGTTAGAAAAATGTATTTATGTATTTAGCCATTACCGATATCCCACCCAGGATTCCATAGAAATAATCAGGACAGCCCCTCCTCTTGCTGAAATGCTCAGTAAATACAACATGTTTCTGCTTTCTGTCCTTCACCTGAGTCCCACCACAGCTGTTTGCCTCGACATGAGGAATCAAAGCTCGAAAAGAAGGAGGGGTTGGGCGGTCAAAAGCAAACATCTGGAAAGTCTTGAAGCCTCTTTGAATGATTGTCTTGATTTCTAACATGCATTTAATTCGGGTCAGGCCTGTCCATCTCCCAAACTGCTCCCTTCCACTCAGCTTGATTGCGCCGCTCTTGGTTTAAGAGGTCTGTGAGAACGAAGGATGAATGCTTTTGTGTTTAATAAGGCATTACGGGCCACAATGGCGTGTGTCCAGGAGGAGATCCATCCCTCTCAGTTTGCCTCAGAGGGCTTTATGGGATTAGCTCTGGTGTGCGGGAAGCGCAAGGCTTGATAATGAGATGAATATTTTAGTGGTAACAGCTTGACATGAGATGAGCTGTAGCATTTGTGTTTCTCTCTAAACGCTGATGATATAATAGTGCAAAGGATTACAACTGCTTATGACATCAAAAGTTTTGGCTAAGTGGGTTGATTTGAAATTGGAAACAGGTTTGGTTGACTTTGAAAACCTGTGGGCATTGTTCCGAGAGTGGCGTTGAACCTTAAATCCTCTCAGCTGTACACCTCAGAAACATTGGGGTGCCGTCCAAAAATATTAAGATCTGGGGAGACTTATTCTCTTTTCCTCACTTCAAGAGTTTAAACATGGGTTGACCAATGCCATGCTGCATGACTGTAGAGGAAGGGAAGTTACACTATTTCCAATCACATCTCAGTATGATACTGCCATCACCATGTTTTATAGTCTGGTCTCTGTATTCAGGCAACGATTGTCATGGTACTAAAATTGTAAAGTCAATATCAGGGAATATTTTTTATACTCGATACATTTCAATACCAATGTAAATAAATGCAAAACAAATAACCTTAATATAACACAGTTTGACAATATTTAACCCTATAATGCCACATATTTGATACATACGGTTTCTAAAATGTTTTGCGTCTGACACTTTTTGCATAATTTAATGGTAAAAACTTTGCTCAAAATCCTATTGTACACAATCACATATACCTGATAACAGCCAGTAGAAGACTACACAAAAAATAATCTTGACTTATCGCATAGTAATGAATTATTAATACCAAAGATGTATTTCTGTTTTTTCTTTTTACATATTTTGTTAAAAGAGCAAATAAGGACTTCAAACAAAAAAAAAAAGGAATTTTCTGTTTTGTTTTATTCTTGGATCAGGCTTTAAAGGGTAAAAGTTTTTTTTTTTTTTTTTAGGTAATATCATTTAAATGTGCAAATAATCCAGAGATCTAAACTGAACAACTGCAAAAATGTGCAAAAACACTTGACTTTAGTGTCAGTAAATTAGTATTGTATACAGTTTTTGAGTAGCAACACTCTCGGTTATCGATATTTTTGTGTTTTTTAATGTTTAGCAAAAACACAAAAATCTAGTTACATTGTGCCTACAGGCCAAATAGCTACTTTTTTGTCTCAGCTAAAACCTTCCTCCACTTGCCTGCTGTGTCCTTACAGTACGTAGCTTCTGTAGAAATAAAAGATGAATCTCTCTGAGCTTCCAGTTAATGTTTTTACTAAGGATCTGGTCCCATATGAGTTTGTAATCGTCTCCCCCTACTGGTCTGGAGCACTTCTGCTACGGAGCTTTTCTTAACTTGAGATTATTTTTGCTACTTGGCTCATTCTCCTTTTACACGTGTTTTCTGTGTTAGCATCATTTTGTTTTGTGGAGCCAAGGCGGAAGTTCAACTGAAGAAACAATTACTATTCGCCTCCGTCACGGGCCGATCAGCAGCCATAGTTCATCTCAAATAGGGACTCCAATCTACATCTCAAAGAAGGTGCCTAAAGTGCAGGAAGCGGCCGCGCTATGTCGGACTTCTATTCAGATGACCCTGTTTCAACCCACCTCCAGCCCCTCCTTCACCACCTTACCTAAAGCTTCATCAGAGTTTCATTCCTCCCAGATTCCTACTGCTTTCTCTTTTTCATTTCAACCGGTCTGGCAGAAAACCGCCATGTTGAGCCTGGTTCTGCCAGAGATTTCTTCCCAAAGGGGAGTTTTTCTTCTCCACTGTTGCTTCATGCTTGCTCATCATGGACAGGTTTACTCAACCTGTGTTATCCAAGCTGGACTTCCATCTTCCAGGTCCCAGAGTGATGCACTAGTATCACCTCAAGCAGCCCACCGGATTTCTTCATACAGCTCAAGCACTCCATCTCACCAGTCAGCAGTCATGAACTGACCAACTTCATCCTCTCCACTTTGACACCATTTTCAGGCCTAATAACAGTCCTATTATTTACTCCTGTTTCTACGTATCAAACCAAATTCTGTGCTAATGACACATGCTTAAATAATTGTATCAATGAAACTCTTCCAATTGTCTTTTCTTTCTGTGAGTTTTTCAGATTGAAATGCAGTTCAGTTGTACTTCTCTCAGTCTTCTGTGATTACAGCATTTCTTTTGTGTCAGGTTGTGTTTAGTGTGCTGGTCCTATATTTGTGTTTGCATTCCTTCTCAAATTTACTGTCCATTTGCTGTGCTGACACACCACCTTATGGCTTTCTTTCTTTCCCACACATCAGTGAAAGTCAGATTTAGATTACTTAAACCCATGCTTCATTGTCTATATTGCAGGTATTCCCCACATTGTGTTGGTCTAGGACATAAAATCACAATAAAATGCAGGTTTTTGCTGTAATGTGATGGAAGGTAAAAACACTGAATGTTGTGGGATACGCACACAGAGTAAGCACAGCTGCACAGCAAAAGAATCCATAAATAAGTCAGCTGAGAAGGTCAGCACTCTTACATGAAGGGGATGATGATGATGATGGGGAATCAGTGAGGCGTGGCTGCCAAGCTCCCCATCAGAAACAATCTCCTCATAAACAATGGGAGCTAATTAGCACAGGGGCCGCTGCGGCGTCAGAGGCGGCCTGAGCCGCCGCTACCTGCGGGGCTATCAGTTACAACTCTCCTGCGGCTCAGATGGAGGGCCCAGGGGCCGAGCCCGATATGGGATCCACAGGCTTATGTTTCAGTGTTTTCACCGCTCTGATGCCTGGAACCAGCAACTCAATCCCTCAGAGTACCAGGAGAGCAGGATGCCATCAGCTTCAAAAGCTTGTCTGATTGTGTGTGTCGTGTTTTTGTTGTTTTTTTTTTTTTCCAGTGACTTGGAAGCGTTATGATTGTCACCTGCGGGGGCTGTGTGCTGTTGGTTGAAAGAAAACGGCCTATCGTGTTTCTTGGCCGTGGTTAGAAAGGCTTGACGTGCACAAAGAGGTCATCTTGACTGTGGATCTTAAGTAATAGTAAGCTGCTTTCAAATCCTGGGGTTATTAAGGGATCGGACCTCTGCCGTTCTTTAGAAACCTGCAGTGCCAAACATGAACTTCCCAAAAAGAGGAGAGTTTAATCATAATTCTGGTAGCGGTGTTGTAGCTGAGTGCTGGCTTTTGTTTGTGATGGGATTGCTCATAAGTTCAAACTCCTTTCTGTCAGTTCACATCTCCACAACAGCTGCAATCCAATAAACAGCTGAAGCTGTGTGAGCTTCTCTTCACAACCCTTTCACCCATATTCAGAGCACTGAGGCCAAACCCATTGTCAGATGTTCGAGATCGTTCTGTTTTCCAGTTTAGTCCTGTTTCTCTGACTGTTACTGGCTGGATTTGCTCTCTTCATCCTGTGAAGCGGGAGGTGGCTCTGAGCTCGTCCGCCTGGCTTTGTGTTTCCTGGATGTGGCGGCCTCATACAGCTGCTTTTTGTATTTCTGTTTCTTTCTGTATCTCTGCTTCTTTCTCCTTGAAC